GTGTCATAATAATAATAATAATAATAATAATAATAATAATAATAATAATAATTCTGCAAGTGCAACAAATGGTAGAAGAAGAGAAACATACACTGGCAGATTATATGAAAGGCAGTCAAGAACCAACATTGAGGGAAGTCAATAGTAGTAAACTGCTTCAAGTGCAAAAGACAAAGAGTGAATACCGTAAAAACACAATCCAGAGCAGAAGAGAAAACTGGCGAAAGAAGGCTCTCCATGGACAGTTCCTGGGAAAAATTGAAAGCCAAATACTCAAGACACCCAAGTTTGAATACTGGTGGGATTGGAGGGGAGGGGAGGATTGATTTTGTCATTTGGGAGTTGTAGTTGCTGGGATTTATAGTTCACCTACAATCAAAGAGCATTCTGAACTCCACCAATGATGGAATCGAACCAAACTTGGCACACAGAACTCCAATGACCAATAGAAAACACTAGAAGGATTTGGTGGACATTGACCTTGAGTTTGGAAGTTGGATATTTACATTACAATTGATATCAGTAGCAAAATGACAGTGATGAAGTAGCAATTAAAATGATTTTATGGTTGGGGGTCACCACAACATGAGGAACTCTATTAAGGGGTTGTGGCAATAGGAAGGTTGAGAACCACTGATATATACTAATACTTCTCATCACAGTGCATTCGGCATTGGAAAAAGGAGCAAACAAACTGTCAGTTCTGGGGGGCCTGACATCATAAACACCCATTGGAGTTACATCAGGTATTTAAACTAATTATCCCTCTTTTGACGATTTAGAAAGCACGTTTGACAGTTAAAGGCTGCAAACCTTTGTACTTAATATTTTCCATAAAGTATTGTGTGCCTTCTAGTCATTTCCAATTAATAGCACTTCTAAAACAAATATATCACAGGGTGTTCTTGGCAAGTTTTATTAAGGAGGGAGTTTTTCGTTGTCTTCCTCTGAGGCCGAGGCCCCTTTCACACAGCTGAACAAAATCCCACATTATCTGCTTTGAACTGAAATATATCCAATGAGTGTCTCCACTTTGAACTGAAATATATCCAGTGACACTCGCTGGAATACCTCAGCAAGTGAGAGTCCAAAAGTGACAGGCTCAAACCCAGAACCTCAATCAATGGCTGGTATCAAATGAGAGACTCCCCCTGGGCACACAGAAGACTGGGTGACTTGGAAGGCGCTGAATAGACTGTGCTCTGGCACCACGAGATGCAGAGCCAACCTTAAGAAATGGGGCTACAAAGTGGAATCCACAACATGCGAGTGTGGAGAAGGGCAAATCACAGACCACCTACTACAATGCAACCTGAGCCCTGCCACATGCACAATGGAGGACCTTCTAGCAGCAACACCAAAGGCACTCCAAATGGCCAGCTACTAGTCAAAGGACATTTATTAGAATACCAAGTCTGCAAACTTTGTGTTTTATTTGTTTGTTTTTAATGCAATACAACTGTTTTGGTTTGCTCCTGACACGAAAAATAAATAATTGAAATATATGGCAGTGTGGACTCAGATAATCCAGTTCAAAGCAAGGCCTGGAGAACAAGCCCTATGAGGAGTAGCTTAAAGAGCTGGGCATGTTTGGCCTAAAGAAGAGAAGGCCGAGAGGAGACATGATAACAATGTATAAATACATGAGAGGAAGTCATAGGGAGGAGGGAGCAAGCTTGTTTTTCTGCCACCCTGGAGACTAGGATGCGGAACAATGACTTTAAATTACAAGAAAGGAGATTCCATCTGAACATTGAGAGGAACTTCCTGACTGTGAGAGCCATTCAGCAGTGGAACTCTCTGCCCTTGGAGTGTGGTGGAGGCTCCTTCTTTGGAAGCTTTTAAACAGAGGCCGTATGGCCATCTGGCAGGGGTGCTTTGAATGCAATTTTCCTGCTTCTTGGCAGGGGGTTGGACTGGATGGCCCATGAGGTCTCTTCCAACTCTATGATTCTATGATTATATATATCAAAATAAAAGAAATTTTTTTATTGTGTCAGAAGCAACTTGAGAAACTAGAAGTTCCTTCTCATGTGAAAGAATTGGCCATCTGCAGAGACATTGCCCAGGGGATGCCTGGATGTGTTACCATCCTGTGGGAGGCTTCTATCATGTCCCCGCATGGGTAGCTGGAGCTGACAAATGGGAGCACACCCCATCTTGCAGATTCAAACTGCTGATCTTCAGGCCAGCAGTTCTGCTGGCACAGGGGTTTAACCTACTGCATTACCATGGCTCCATATTATAGCTAATGCTGGATTGTAACTTGCAATGGCTACAGGTGTTCACAAGGAAAACTTACAGCTGCCATGCAACATCATCTGGGGAAACAACACCCATACCTTGGGAAAATTCCTTTTTGGACTCCAATAGCCAACCAGGCGAGTCTCACTAGGTATGCTGTATGGTACATTCTGGGAGTCGTAGTCCAACTTTTTCCAAGCTCAGATTCTAGCCTAGTATTATTCATTGGAATAAACTGGCAGAAACTCTTCAGGGGACCCTATAGAAGACTTCCAGGTTGTCAACAACCAGGTCTTTTAAACTGTCTGATACTAGGGACTGTCTGATTCTAGGATACTAAGTTTAACTGCAATGTAGTTACAGTTATACAGTTACAGTTATACCACAAAACTGTCTGATACTAGGGAATAAAACTGGGATTTTTCCACTCATCAATGGTCAGTTCCCAGTAGTCTTCTACACAATTGTGGTTACACCTGTAGTTAAGAAGTTGCAGCTGTAAAATTAACCCATGTGCCCACAAGTATTGGTAGCTTGATACCTCCAGATGCTTTAGATCAGGGTTTCTCAACCTGGGGGTCGGGACCCCTGGAGGGGTCGCGAAGGGGTGTCAGAGGGGTCGCCAAAGACCATCAGAAAACACAGTCTTTTCTGTTGTTCATGGTGGTTCTATATGGGAAGTTTGGGGCAATTCTATTGCTGGTGGGGTTCAGAATGCTCTTTGATTGTACGTGAACTATAAATCCCAGCAACTACAACTCCCAAATGTCAAGGTCTGTTTTCCCCAAAGTTTGATCCAGAACCATCATTGTTTGAGTCCACAGTGCTCTCTGGATGTAGGTGAACTACAACTCCAAAACTCAAGGTCAATGCCCACCAAACCCTTCCAGTATTTTCTGTTGGTCATGGGGAGTTCTGTGTGCCAAGTTTGGTTCAATTCCATCATTGGTGAAGTTCAGAATGCTCTTTTATTGTAGGTTAACTATAAATCTCAGCAACTACAACTCCCAAATGACAAAACCAATCTCCACACAATCCCTCCAGTATTCAAATTTGGCGTATCAGGTATTTGTGCCAAATTTGGTCCAGTGAATGAAAATACATCCTGCATATCAGATATTTACATTATGATTCATAACAGTAGCAACATTACAGTTATGAAGTAGCAATGAAAATAATTTTATTTATTTGGGGGGTCACCACAACATGCGGAACTGTATTAAGGGGTCGCGGCATTAGGAAGGTTGAGAAACACTGCTTTAGATTATAGTACTCATAAGCCCTAGTCAACCAGGGCAATTAGTGGTGAGTGTGGGAGATGCAGTCTAAAACATCTACAGAGTAACAGGCTATCCCAGCTGCCATTCTTACACCCAGAGCCCTTCCACATAGCCCTAGATCCCCGAATATCATGGCAGAAAATCCAACAATATCTGCTTTGAACTGGGTTATCTGAGTCCACACTCAGATAATGTGGGATTTTCTGCATTGATATTCTGGGATATAGGGTTGTGTGGAAGAGCCCCAAGAGTGTTGTTCCTTGCTCTCACTGTCATTCTCCACATTGTATATTTGTTGAAGTGGCTGCATACGCAACGGATTCAAAAGGGGTGGCTTTCATTTTAGCTATATAAAAAGATACCTGTCAAGTGAGCCCCAGTAGTCATAATTTTAGTTTTTAAATGTAACATTTACTTTTTTTCTCAAAAGTAATTAAATTATTTAGTCGCACACATACACAAATCCTGAATGCTTCAAATTGTTGACATGGTGAGCAAAATAAACATCCTGCTGCTATTCTGCTCAATGATAGATCCATGAAGCATCAGAAAAAGACAGCATTTGAACCAAGGGATAGCCCTGTTCCATTGTGAAGTGTAACTGTAAAACTAACTACATAACAGTTATACCACAAAAGGAATAAGGCTATCATATACTGCTATAACTGCAATACAATAATACCTTTGCTATTGACAGAATGAATTGATAAGCTTTGTTTATAAAGCTATTGTCCTCCCAACCCTGCTATCCGCCTGCGAGACGTGGACTGTCTACAGATGTCACATGCAACTCCTAGAACAATTCCATCAGCGTTGCCTCTTAAAACTCCTGCAAATCTCTTGGGAAGACAACAGACAAATGTCAGTTTGCTGGAAGAAGCAAAGACCACCAGCACTGAAGCGATGGTCCTCCGCCATCAACTCCGCTGGACTGGCCACATTGTCTGGATGCCTGACTACCGTCTCCCAAATGAGTTGCTCTACTCTGAACTCAATGGAAAATGGAATGTTGGTGGGCAGGAAAAGAGATTTAAAGATGAGCTCAAAGCTGGAGGTTAGCTGTGACCAGCAGTGCTGTAGAATTTGAAGAGGCACGAATGGAGGGTGAAAGAGAGAAACGTGCCAAGAGGAAGGCGCATCAAGCCAACCCCTTGGAAGACAACCCACTCGGACAACAAGGGATCACTAAGTAAGTAATGATAAACAGCTACTTCCTTGCCATTAATCATTTTCAAGTTCTGAATCCCAGCCTGAAAACCTAAATGGCTGCCACATAACATTGCTATATTCCACCTGCTGCCTTCTAGAAGTGCTGGCTGCAATTCACATCAGCCCTGACCATTAGTGATGCTGGCTGGGGTGAATGAGACTTCTATTCACAGTCTGTGTGGGGCAACAGGATGAGATTAGCTGACTAGTTTACTGTCATAAATGGGCCAATATTATGTTTTCCCGTGTATTGAATTGTATTCTTACCTGCAAGAGCAAGAAAGTGAAGCATCTTCTTCCCCTTCATGATTGCGTAGATATAACCCAAGCACATCACCTTCTGGCCTTTATAAACTGGAGCATTCGGGCCATGACCATGGGCTTATCCACAAACTGACACTTTGCAAATAGTGGCAAGTCTTATCAACAAAGGAAGGACCTTCATTGCAGCTGGAAGAGATTACCAGTTGTGAATATTTTTGTAAAACACCCGAATGTGTTCATTAAAAAAAGAAGAGTTGGTTGTGTAACAGCTCCCTTAAGGAAAAACAGAAGTGCGTCTTCACATCATTAGTAGATCCGTTTTTACCACTTTGATACTTTGATAATTCTGGGAAATGTGGTTTGACGATTACAATGAATTCTCTTAGCTAGCGAGCTGTTATTTCCCCACAATCAACAAACCCCAAATAATTCCCTGAGAACCTTGAATGCCTCCAAACAGATTCATCTTCAACTCCTCTTTTCTCAGAATGCTTCTAGGTACTTCTCTATTTAGTAATCCCAGCATTCCTTCGGATGTAGCGAGGATGATTAAAGTGGTATGATAAGTGTGGAGTGCAGATATACCCAAGGACACACACCTGAGTCTCACTACTTGAGTATGAATGATGGGAAAGTTGCTACATTCCCACTGGTTTTCACACTCCACAGTACATTTCAAAAACAGGCAGAGAGCCTTTTATCATAACAAGTTATAACTGAACTACTTGCTCTATAATATGAGCCCATTTTCTGGCAAGGATCATAGGATTTTGAATTTAACTTCAAGGATCTGCTCAGTAAAAAATGAAGATGGTATCCTTTTGGGATGCTCCCATTTCCATTTAAGGCCTTTGACACTTGTGACACATTTTTTATTGTATACAAGTCAACAAACATAAAAACAAAACAAATAAACAATAACAAAGACTTGTCGAAGGCTTTCATGGCCGGGATCACTGGGTTGTTGTAGGTTTTTCTGGGCTATATGGCCATGTTCCGGAGGCAATTTTTTGGACCTCACTACCTCTGAGGATGCTTGCCATAGATGCAGGCGAAACGTCAGGAGAAAAATTGCCTCCAGAACATGGCCATATAGCCCGGAAAAACCTACAACAACCCAATAATAAAGACTATACAGTTACAACATCCTACCTCACCCATTCCCTCCAACCCCACAGTCGTGAACCCACCACCTAGGACTTCCTTCACTACTCCTTGTGAATCTTCTATATATTACAACCTACCCTTATATCTGCTTTAGTAAGTTCCCATTGCGGCTACTTTAAAATCGACATTTGTCTTTCTTTCCAAATATCCAAGTATCAGTATTTTTTTCTCAAACTTTTCATTAATTCATCCCTGATTAACACTGGATAGCTTGGCCATTTATTATTATTATTATTATTATTATTATTATTATTATTATTATTATTATTATTAACACAACAAGATGAGTCCACAGCAAACAAGATCACTCTGCTGGCTGTTGTATTGGATCACACGTCGGACACTTCCCAAGTGTCTAGGACTGTGTGATGTATCGGCGAATAATGCGTGCAGATCCCAGTAAGGTGGCCTTTCGCAGCTGGCAGATGGTAATTTTGTCAGCGCCAATTGTGTTTAAGTGCAGGCCAAGGTCTTTAGGCACTGCACCCAGTGTGCCGATCACCACTGGGACCACCTTTACTGGCTTGTGCCAGAGTCTTTGCAGTTTGATCTTTAAATCCTCATATCATGTCAGCTTTTCCAGTTGTTTCTCTTCAATCCTGCTGTTGCTGATTGCAACATCAACAATCCATACTTTGTTTTTTAACGTGATCATGAGGTCAGGAGTGTTGTGCTCTAAAACTCTTGTCTGTCTGAATTCCGAAGTCCCAGAGCAGTTTGACATGTTCATTTTCTGTAACTTTTTCAGACTTGTGATCCCACCAGTTCTTTGTCCCAGGCAGATGGTATTTGTGGTACAGGTTCCAGTGAATAATCTGAGCAATGGTGTTATGCCTCTGCTTGTAGTCTGTCTGTGTGATCTTCTTGCAGCAGCTGAGGATGTGATCTATTGTTTCATCTGCTTCCTTGCAGAGTCTACACTTGGGATCTGTTGTTGACTTTTCAATTCTGGCTTTGATGTCCTTGGTTCTAATGGCTTGTTCTTGGGCTGCCAGAATCAGGCCCTCCATGTTTTTTTTCTTTGTCAATTTGGCTCTCAATTTATTATTATTATTATTATTATTATTAGTAGTAGTAGTAGTAGTAGTAGTAGTAGTATTTATATCCCACCCTTCTCACCCTGAAGGGGACTCAGAGCAGCTTACAGAGAGAGCCTTCTCCTCTGTGGCTCCCCAACTCTGGAACTCATTACCTGTAGAGATCAGGAAAGCCCCTTCACTAGAAACATTCAAAAAGAACCTTAAAACCTGGTTCTTCCACTGTGCCTTTGGCAAGTAGATGCATAACATGACACTAGTAACTTTCTTGCAGAAACTCGGAGTTTTTTTCTCTTGGTGTGTGACAAAAGTAACAATGATCAGTCTGGATTGTGTGCAATTTTTTTGTTTAATTTAAGTATCAACTACCACAAGCTTTACATTTACAAGCCCCTTTTCTCTGCCAGCAAACCCAACAAAACACTGGTTCCTGACTATTATAAACATTCAAAACTTGCTGAATTTACAAATTAATGTCCTGAAAAAGCTGGATAAATTATACATCTCTCTCATTCCATCTCCACTCCACAGCATTTTAAAAAAAATCACACAGGCACATTATTAAGATAGTTTCTCTTTACAACCCAGTTATTTACACGGCCTTTGTTGACACAGTTGGTACAGTTCTTATAGGCAACTGCCAAGTTTCACAAACATATTTAGAACATATTTAGCAGCATATCTGATTAGATTAAAAAGAAAGAACACTTCTTTAAAAAAAGAAAAAAGAAAAATCCAGAACAAAACACGTGAGGGTGATAGAAACAGGTCATAAGAAAAATATATCGAGCTATTTCTGTAAGAATACCGTGGAAGGCAAAGCACTAATAAAATGTTTACAGTTCAACAGCATTTTAGTTCTAGTCCTGAGCACAGGGTAGACATAGCTCCACAACTTTGGTCAACAAGAGTGTATATGCTTGCTAACAATTAACACAGGCCACGTGGCATCCATTGTTAGCGTGGCAGTCCGGACAGTATTCTGTCCCTGCTTACTGAAACTTCAGTCTTAATGCTTCTATAGCAGCAAAACATAAGTAAACTTTTTAGGACATCCACTCCTGCCATTTCTCTTCTGTTAGAGGCTTGAAAAGTGAGGCTATAGCTACACCAGCACATTCAATGTGACTGTGGGTGTGAGGTTCGGCTGAAGAGAAGGGTCAGAGAGTGAAGTACACTGGGCACTTTTGTATTTGAGGGAGACTGCCATTCAAGCCAACAGAGTTCCAATTTGTTTAAATTACGAGGCTTATATATGCACACAAATCCAGCCGTTATATGTGAGACAAGCATATACGTACATATAACCAACAGACTAGTGTTTTAAATACAGTACACAGGGGCAGTTCTTAAGGGCAGAAGTTTTAGCAGAACACAACACACTTAATAGCAGAGATGAGCTGTTATCTTCCGAGTTTTTTTCCCAGCTGCTAGCATTTGCCTACTAAATGCAATGTGATTTGCACTAAGAGCGTAGTCACCACAGCTTGAGGTGTTCAGCACTGTAGCTCCTGTTTAATTACTGGCCACATCTTCACTTGTATCCCCAGGATCTGAGATCTGTCCATCCAGGTTGGTGGGAGCTTTCCAGATCCTGACAGTTCGATCACTGCAAAACATTTGAAAACAATTAAATCCATAAGTATAGAAGGAGAAATAAGCTTTCTCCAGTTTATATATGCCCATACATCTATATAAATAAAAATGTAATGTTCATTTGTGCTACCATCAGAACTCAAAAACCACTGGGGGAATTGACACCAAATTTGGACACAAGACACCTAACAGTCCAATTTATGGCCTCCACTCAAAAAAATGATTTTGTCATTTGGGAATTGTTGTTGCTGGGATGTATAGTTTACCTACAATCAAAGAGCATTCTGAACTCCATCAGTGATGGAATTGAACTAAACATGGCATACAGGACTTCCATGACCAACAGAGCACACTGGAAGGGTTTGGTGGGCAGTGTCCTTTGGTTTTGGAGTTGTAGTTCACCTACATCCAGAGATCACTGTGGACTCAATCAATGATGGAACTGGACCAAACTTGGCACAAATATTCCATATGCCCAAATATGAACACAGATGGAGTTTGGGGGAAATAGACCTTGACATTTGGGAGTTGTAGTTACTGGGATTTATAGTTCACCTACAATCAAAGAGCATTCTGAACCCCACCAACAACAGAATTGGGGTAAACTTCCCACACAGAACTCCTTTGTCCAACAGAAAATGCTTAAGGCCATCCAGTCCAACTCCCTTCACCAGGGCAAAAAAAACATAATCAAAACCCTCCTGACAAAGAGCCATCCAGCCATAGATAGATAGATAGATAGATAGATAGATAGATAGATAGATAGATAGATAGATAGAGATAGATAGATATGATTCACACACAGAGAGATACATAGTATCATAGATTTCAAAGGGACCCCTAAAGAAGGACAATGGTATGTTGCATGTTCCAGAGTAGGCAAACCAGACACTCTCTACATCAACACTGACAAAGAAACAACAAGAAATACTGTTTACCCACAAGCATAAAGAAATTACATAGATTAGAAACCATTACTGTATTTTCCAGATCACCAGACTGGGCCACAGCAATGCAAGGCAGGGGACGGCAAGTTCTCAAAATAAAAAATGAAGCTTCAGGAAAGACATTAAAATAACTCACTCTGATGCTGTGAAAATCTGGCTGGAGTTGGTACAGATGGCATTAATGGGACTGTCGTGTCCTTTCAGCTCACTTATTGGTGCAAAGGTGTCTACATCCCAGAGCTTCAGAATGCCTCCACGGCAGCCACTGAGAAGCACAGGGGAACCAGGCACGGGCCCAAGAGCACAAACCCAGTCCTTGTGGGCATTAGGAACTTGCTGAAAAGATAGATAAAGAATTCAGTTGGGAAACTCTGACATCTACGAGCAGGAATGTATGTATTTAATCCACATCCTGTTATTTTCCTATTATTCTCCTGTTATTCTTCTGGGAAATATGAACCAGGGGAAAATCCTTACATCTAGCTATATGACTTCAAATAAACTCTATATGATTTCTATAAACATAGTAGTAGCTGGCTTGCTATTTATGTTTACTTTATCAGTATGATGGGTATGATCCTCAAATGCAGATCATGCAAATTATAGAATTCTTAAAAGAAAAACTAGGCAGCATATATGTTCAAATAGGTCTTTAAAGATCTGGTTCTGATGCCTAACGTTTGAAGAACGCCTACATAAATACAGCATACAGAATCACAAGGATACATACTATTTGTCTAGGTGAACTTGAGGTTAAGATTCAGGCTGAATTTTTTTTTAGTCAAACACCTTTATATCCTAACATAAAAATCACTTAACATATTTCTATGATTTTTGTTATTCCTGTTGCTATCAAAATGAAAACTGACATGTAATTCATGTTGCCAGATTTTCCGAAGTTTTTGTTTCCATTATCTCGGCATCTATTGAAAAAGTGTAAGTTCTGCAATGCCATCAATATAGGACAGTTTGTTTATTTATTTATTTATTTACTTTACTTATATACCGCTGTTCTCAGCCCGAAGGCGACTCACAGACTCACAGTTAATAATAATGGGTTGCTGGGTCACCTCAAAACTAGCGAAGACATATGAGCCCGACAGGCATGTAACCGGGGGGGGGGGGTTGGGGGGCTTCAGCCCCCCCCCCCCAAATTCTCATGGTGGTTTGCGAAAAGGCCTTACTGGTGCATTATTTAAACTGTTATGTTTATTCATATCATGATCTGATCACCCTACTCAATATATCCCATATGCATGGGGGTATTGGGGTAATGATACAAAAGGTTTGCTAGGGTAGACCCTCTTTCACTCGGACTCAGCCCCCCCCCCCCCCAATCGAAATCCTGGCTACCGGCCTAAGCCCAGACTATATGATGCTTGTCTCAAGTCTTGCAATAAGAGGATTTTTCAGAAGTATTCTTGGTCTAGAAGATCGGAGACCCTGCAAGAGCTCTAAACCCTTGAGAAACGCCTCAATTTACAAGACCTGAGAGGGGATAGACCTGACTTACATGTCACTCAGTCCTGTTGCATAGACCTGCAGATTTGAGTACAGAATAATAACTACCAGCCACATTTACAATGGATTAAAAATTATGGGGACTTGGGGTGGGACTATCAGGCCACAAATACAGGATACCCTATACTAAATGGGATTTATGGGAATCCTAGTTTCACAAGAGCTTGTGTATGGATATCTCTTTGGTTTTAGTTACCTGAATGAGGTCTCTTTGAGCCAAATCCCACTTTTTGATCCCATTATCTCTAGAGCCACTGAAAAGGTTGTCTCCTATAATAGTAAGTGCTTCAATGCCATCATAATGAGGAGGTTCGAAATTGTGTGTGGGGCCGACAGTTCCAAGGGCGCCTTCCGTTACATCAAACATCTAGAATAGCAGAAATGCATACTTATATTTGTGGAATGATCTTGACGAGCAGTGAATTAAACATAAAGAACAAAACTTTATTCAATATATTCCTTTTACCAACACCCACAAAATACCTGGGATTGTGTGTCAGTATCAATTGCTAATTGCTTTAAATAATTCATGATGTCAGTAAATATGGAATCTGATTTGAAATAAGGAATCTAACAATTCTGTATTTATAATTCATGTTACTATATATATATATAGAATAAGATAATATCTGACATAACTCTTTACCACACCATCAGAAAGTATCTAGACTATCATATGGAAAAGAGTGATCACTGGTAGCTTCCATGTTTGAGGTGGGGAAGTGAATCTGCTCCAAATCCAAAATTTAAAATAGTTTCCCAAGATGCTGCTTCCCAATTTCCAAAACAGAGCAAATCTTAAAATTTCATCCATTTACTGTCATCAGAATCACCAGATGCCACTGTGACAAACAGTTCTGACATTTTCCACATCCATTTTTATTATTCTTATTTTACGAGCACAACATAGGCTACCTACAATCAGTGGATGAGTAGATTTAAAAGGACAAGAAAGCAATTATGCAAAATTACCCCAATGAAAGATTGCAAGGTAATTTGCCACCACTTTATTTGCGTGGCAATAATTGTGTGACATTATAAAGTCAATATACATGTTGTACAGAAGTAACATTCTGAATAGTTCTAAACCCAGAATTCAATGGTATACCTCTTGCGATGGAAGCAGAGGCACAAAAAGCTCCGGGAAGGAGTGACTTTAGCTCCTCAGGAGCTAATTTGGGAGGCTGTTAAAAGTTTAATTTATATTGCATAGAGATTATAGTAGAGAGCAGAAATAGCCCTGCAGAACTTAATCTGTAAGTGGAAATAAGCCACTGGATCCTGGCCTTGAAAACACTACAATATAGGTTGCACGATAATATAAGTTGAACCAACAATGGTTCAAAGGAACTTCTGATTTATAAATAGCCACCCTTTGATTTGTAACATACCATTTGTAACATACCAGGATATTGAGTAATACCTTCATAAATAATTCATAAAATAATTATTTCTAAACACAATCATGGACCATCCTTTGAAAAGTCTTATGTCCAAGAACACAGAAACAGTCCGGGAGGGGAGCAGATTGCGTTATTGTGATTATATATAAAAAAAATCCTTCAGTTTGTATCTCAACATATTCTTGGTGTGCTATAATTGAATCTCTGTCTTATAAACATTCTCCATTTTTGTCTCAGAGAACTGTTGTATAGGATTTTTTTTAAAAAAACGGTGATCACTCTAATGACTCATTTGGCAAGATATTTTCTAGTAAATAATCTTACCATGTGTGTAATTAGAGTAATCTTGATTTTTTTAAAAAAAATGTTGATTATATTGTAATTATCTGAAACAGTGCTTCACAGACTATCTGATATGATCCATTTTCTGTCTAGGGACCAGTATAACTTCTGTATCTGTTAGTTACAATTGTTATTTTCTTTCCTGGAAGCTTTCCAGGTACCAGCAACCAATGGTTTAGGGACTGGTACCAGTCCAGAGCCTACTACTTTGAGTAATACTGCTCCGGGGGTGCATCTACACCATAGAATTAATGCACTTTCACACCATTTTAGCTGTAATCGTTCAATGATATGGAATCACATGAGTTGTAATTGTGCAAGGTGTACAAAAATACACTATAAATAAGTTGTTACCTATCTTCTGATTGCTGCTCAAATGATCATTGTGAAATAATGGGGGGAGGGGACGGGGGGGCTTTACTCCTCATGGAAGATTAGTGGTGAAAAAGGTGGGATTCCCTCCTTATAAAATCAAAACTGATCAAATGACTTGTTAGTAATGAGGCTTCTATCACATCTTGGTTTCTCTTTATATGCTATATCAATAGCAAATCTGGTCCCTTGGGTCTACATATTCATCAACCCCCCTTCTAGAAGATTGATTTTGTATGTGTGTGCTGATATCTCTGATGTCTCACCTTAATTTATTTCTCACTTGTACTGGAGCCTCTGCTCTGTTACCAAATCATTTGTTTGTTTGTTTGTTTTAAAAAAAACCAAAACAAATTCAATGGAATTCACTTCTTAGTGAATACATATAAATAGGACTTTTGTGTGTTTCTTAACATCTTGAAAGGGGGAAGAAACATAAACCACAGCTCATTCCTAAAACCTGTTTTATTTATATTATAACAAAAGACAGGGGGGCAAATACCTTTATATAATGATCCTTTGAGCCAGTAATGATCAAATCTTGTCCATTAGAAATGCGGTCTACTGTAAGGCACATAACAGGCCCCAGGTGACCAGTTAGTTTTCCAGTGGACTGAAACCTAGAAGAGCAGATTTAGGCAGAGTCACACAACAATACAAGAACTTTTTGTTTTAATTATTCCAAAGAGAACACCTCAGAGTTTTCTCAGAGTTAGATGTCAAATAAGTGGGAATTGCCACAAAATTCAGATTCTCAAAGCAGATAAACCACATTATTTGCTTTGAACTGGATTATATGAGTCTACACTGTCATATAATCCAGTTCAAAGCAGATAATCTGGATTTTATATGACAGTGTAGAAGGGACCTCAGTATCACATTGAGTTGTTTAAATTTCAACCTTTCCTGCTTCGAAATGTTCCAGGCCACTAACTCCTTCATATCCTTGTTGGATCTGGAATTCTGGAGGTCTTAATTTAGAAGCCAACAGATACCAGTACTACCAATTTGGAAAGACAGCGTTTCACACACCAAATTTGCTTTTAAAATAAGCAATCCAGCAGATACAGACCAGAGCTAGATAAAAAGATTTCAACAACACTGTGGTCCAGCAACATCTAGAATCCCAGTATTTTGTATTAGAGTTTGTAGTTCAGTATCTTCCATTTCTCAACACCAATTATATTCCTAAGGGAAGCACCACCAAGACAGAAATTAACTATAGCATAGAACAGTGGTTCTTAACTTATGAGTTCCCCAGGTGTTTTGGCCTACAACTCCCCGAAATCTCAACCAGTTTACCAACTGTTAGGATTCCTGGGAGTTGAATAAAAATAAAAATAACCAAAACATCTGGGGACTCACAGGTTGGGAATCACTGGGATAGAGGGCTTTTCACATAAACAGAGGGCCATGGTAAGAAGATGTGATGCATTGGTTTCTATGATTAAAAACACAAGAAAGATGTCCTTATAGCCCTACACCTCTTTAGGCTCCTTGCAGTCTCAACACCAACATGAATTATTGTGTACCTGCTAACTGGTGGAGGCCTAAAGCCCAGGCTGTATCCACAGAAATGTCTAAGCTAAGCATACAAAATTATCCATAAATGACTGCAGTAAATAACCTGGAAATCTTTACCTCTTGAGGTCCCACATTCTCACTGCATTTCCTGCAGCTGCATACAGGAATGTTCCTGTTGGATTTAGGGCTATCTGATTGATCTGGTTTTCACCAGCGGGAATTGTCACAGTCCTATTGGTACTCCCAGAGCAAGCATCACCGGGCATCACCTGGCCTGAAGACCTTTATTTTATAGAGGGGAAAAACCAAAATAGCAAATAGGAAACTTTGCAATTTCATCTCAAACACATCTTATAAAGACATAATTTGGCTGAGTTTGAATGCAGCCAAATGATGCTGGACACTAGTTTTCTGGCTTTGAATACCAAGTTTCCAAATACTGTAGGTTTCTGTATTTAGTCCATTTGTGAGGGAAGGATGTGCATTTGTACATAGGTTTGTGTTCCTTTGTGTGTTGATCAAGCATTTAAAATTCTAAGCAGGTAACTGGAGAAATGGGCACAGATCATGATACATCCCAACCAACAAAAACGATTTCCTCGTCTGAAGGGCAATAAATCGACTCCAAGATTTTAAAGGAGCCATCCAAGATGCTGAATTCTATACTTAAAATGGGGTCATAGTCCCATTTATAATTATAAGTTCAGACTAAAACTTAGCAGAGATGCTCCAACCCACCTTCATTATAACCACCAGCTGCCTCTAGGACAACAACTCAATGGAAAAGAATATACACTGTGGGCGATGTTCTCTTTAATTAAATGCTCATTGGTTGAATTGAAGAGTTGAAACAACAAGAGCAGGAGGTTTTTTCTGTGCCATGGTAGGTAGTTTGTTTTGTTTTTTAAAGAGACATGGATTGGCATTCAAACTTTGGTCTTCTAGGTTTTTTTTGTTTTGTTTTGTTTTGTTTTTTTGTATTTCCATTTGCAGAATTCTTAGATATGATGGCTGGAGCTTCTAAGAGCTGGCCCAAAAAATCTGGCCAGTAAAAGATTGAGAAGCATTGCTTTACTAAATTTTATTGCACTTTTCTTCTACTCCCACACCCTCACCTAAAAACAATGAACGTGGTGGCTAATAAAATTACCAAAGGCAAACAATAAAACCCATCAAATTACAGTTCTGTAGTCACAGACTATAACAATATAAATCCAAATGGTAATCAAATCTTAGATTTGCCTTGTAGAGTGCCAACTTACGTAAGTGTCCGAATACACTTGGCAGAATCACGGATGTCCCACACCTTAATATAAGATGTTGAAACTGTAAAGACCAAGCTAGTATAGTTACAGTATTTTACAGATACAACGTTGTTGGGATGACCACCCAGAGACATTATTTCTTGTCCAGTTACCAAATTCCATACTTTACAAGTGCGATCTAAGAAAGAAAAAGGACAAGAACAGTAAACTTACAAGATAGCAATACAAAATTCATTCATTCATTCATATATGTTTTTAACACATCCTTCCAAAGAACATGCAGAAGTATAAGTGAGACACGACTACTTAATATAAACCCTTGGATCAAATTCAAAAGTAGTTCCAATAGCCACTGAGAGGGTAAAACACAACAGATAGCTAAAATGTAAGAGGAGTCAAGAATTATTTTTATACACATCTTTTTCAATAGTGCATAAAAGGTCTGATCCAGTAGAGAAAACAAAGAAAAGGAGCCAGTTTTGAATTGTTAAGTAGTAGCTATAACAACAGTATTTATTTTTAATTAGCAGCTTAAGGCTTTTCATTCCCTAAAACAGTTGCTAAAGGTGTCAAATGAGGCTAACAAAGTTGCCAAAAGGTTATACAAGGCTATATATGTACACAAACAACACCTCCTTACTGTTCTGCCCTTCTATGTGACTTTCTAAATATATATATAAGCAGCTGGCAATACTGCAGAAAGTCAATATTTATATCACTTCAACATGCCTCCTAATTTCCTTTGCTCATAACCACTTATTTAAACATTTAATTTAAATAAGCAAAAAGATGGGGGCACGGATGAAGGAAATTCATTCATTTCACACATCACATTATTACTGGTTAGTATCCTAACCTTATATTGTACATTAAAATGTCCAATATAGTGCATATCTTTAAAAAAATAACATGAAGTTAATTATTTGAATGTAACGGTGAAATCAGGACTTCCAGAGACCAAGTAGGAGCCCCACAGGCTACCAAAACTCCAAAAAATGAGGGGGGAAAGCTGAAAGTGATGAAGTATACTTCTTGTTCTGTAAAATTGATTTTTTATATATTAAATAACATAGGAGGAGAGATCCAGCTCTCAATACCGGGAGGCTTTTGGGATAGTTAATCTGCCTTTTTCCTCCAGCAGAAATATGTCATGCCTATTTCTTAGGAGCCACATTTTTCCTATTCTGTGTTTAGTGTTATAAAAAGTGGATCTGAAACATTAACACTGTAATGATTGAACTTTTAGGGATAGTAACCTTTTCATTTAAGTATTACGAAAAGCATTATTTTTAAAGAAATTTATGTATCTTGCACTGCCATTGACAATGAAGCAATGTGTATGCTACAATATTTCACCATTCAGAATTTTCATTTTACTCAGGGTTGGATCCCATTCCATTTAGGGTGAGTTCACATATGCATGCTTATGCTCATCACTTGTTACTTCAGTACTACTGCACACATGAACTAATACCCTTATTTGAGTAGATGACAGGTAATATGAAATCTGTGACAGTTTGTTTATACCTGCAAGTCTCCAACTAAAACCACAATGTCACGTGACAAATGTGTACATGGGAATATGCACACAGTATCAACACATACATGTAAAGAAATTGGCCAAACCTTTTGATCCAGTGAAGAGGAGATCATCAGTACAATCAATACAAAGCACCGCCTTTGTATGACCTTCAGCAATATGGATACATTGAATTGGGGAAGAGCGAACAGATTTTGAAGAGTATGGGTTGATTATACCTCTATGGAAGGAAACAAAACACTCTGAATTAGGATTTATGGTAAGTCATTTTGTCATAATATGTCAAAAACCTGTCAACATCATTTCCTGAAAATCTAACAGGCCAACACTATCTTCAACTTTCTAGCTAGATGAGAGCCTAATTTTTATTACTCTTCTCCAATCACAAAGGGAGTACACTAGTTATAGGAGGCTTTTAAGCAGTAATAATAGTATAGATTTTCATGTACCACTCCTAACAACTGCTTTATATATCCCTCATCAGTTTCATTAAACACTCAATAAAAACAAAATAAAACACCTAGCAAGCCCACAGCAAAAGAGACTTGATACCACAGTAATATTTTATGCAAACTAATAAACTGGCACAAAGCAACATAATTATTTTGGATATTATTGCAAGCAAACCTACGAAGGGGTTAAATTCTTCACCTTCCATACAGTGGTGTCCCCTTACTGATATGTTTCTTGTGCTATTTTCCAACAAAGGGGCACCACCAGACTTCTGAAATAAGAGTACATTTTTTGTATTGTTCACGTCCAAAGATATATGTAGCATAATTTGCAAAAATATCTTGTGCGTGAATGGAGCTCACATTCTGGTACTATTAATGCAAGAAAGAAACCCAAAGCATCATAATGACTACTTATATATTTTATTCTAGTGAGGAAATACATTTCTCAAGTACTTCCTTGAGGGTAAAAAACCCCCCATATAATGCCAATGTGTTAAAATATGTTTTAACACTTCGGTGAATCACTTGAGTAAATGGAGTATTAGCCTGATGTACAATGTCTGTGTTTTGCTATTGATTTACTCCCTTATGAAATTCTGTGTGGCTTTAAAACAGAATTATGAACCAGTGGATTATGTGTTACTCCTCAAGAAGGATCCCATGTAATCCTGATCATATTAAAACATGTCATGTAGGTTCAGCTAGCTCTACTACAAAGATGAGATAACCTCAGGAAGCAAAATTGTAGCACTGCTCATCACACTGCAAAAAGAAGAAGGCCCGGGTTTGCATGTGATTTTCAACATGAACAGTTTCTATTTTTTTAAGATTTGGGGAATATGTGGTTCTCCAGATGTTGCGGAACTGCAAGTCCAATCAGCCCTAACCAACACTGAAAATGCAAGAATGATGGGAATTGGCTACCAATCATTAACACTCATTTTTGCCTCTGGAAATGCATCCAAGCTTCAGGGGAAGAATTAAAACCTGGACTAGTCTATGTTTAGCAATCTTTGTTATTTGCCATCTTAAGTTAGAATACATGACTTAGAAACTAGAGTGGTGTGAAATCTTTAGATTTTTATCCCACAGAAAAAATAACTATGATGTATTACCACTAAAATGGAAAAGAAACTATCCATTTCATTTCAGGGTTGTAATTTATGTCTTTCACACATGTCTACACCTTTGAATAAATGCAATTACTTTCATCTGCTTTCAACACCTCAAATATCCAAATAACAGGAATAATACTAAATGTTGGATCCAAACTGTTCTGAGTATCTGAAAGACATTTTCTAGGGTAATGAAGATGTCTTTGGAACCCACTGCCAAGAAGATCTACTTCCATCTGCATTGGCCTTTCTTTTAAAGGCTAAAGAGAATTTTTAGATTTTCATAGCTGTGGGCAATGTTACATTGGAACAAAGATGGCAATTGCTAAAACTGTTACTGCTATGGATTTCTATTTCACACAATCACAGTATCACAGGGTTGGAAGGGAATACAAGGACCATCCAGTCAAACCCTCAATTTTCTTTTTAATTACACTATGTAATTTTTTTTTAAAAAAATCCATTTGTGGTTTGAAAGTGTTATTTCCTGTTTAATTGTGTGGGACATTCTTTGAAAGTAGTTGTTCTACTCCAGAAACTTTGTTTTTATGGCTGCCACAAACTATGTTAAATTGGTTAAAACACAGTCAGATATTCATTGAGAAACTATAGCAAAATGTGCTGCAGGATGTCCCACAAAAATGAAGTTTTTTCCGTTTTTTCCGTGTGATAGAACCAATTAGGAAATGACATCTATAACCCAGGAACAAAATTTATATGTTATCTATGGCTGTCACCCTAAAAATCCATGAATGTTTTCCTGCCACTGTATCGGCTGTATGTGAAATTCCCTCTGTGGAACCAGCTGGATACAACTTGTAATCTTTATCATTTTTCCCAGAATGTTCTATGTTTTCCCAGAATGTCCTCTATATACAATACATATACCAAAGAGAATTTCAGCATGTACAAGTATTCTCAGTGCATAAGAGGTGGGGAAATAACCAACATTGGAAAAACCATTATGTAATCTGAAGATTTCTCATTTCTAGATGTGTAGGGTTCGGGGAGGGGAATGAAGGAAGAGAATCATATCTGTGTCTGACATGTGCTTTTGCCTCACTACTTCTTTTGGTTTTATGGTGACTTTAAAGGCTGAAAATAGTTGTGGCTTTTAATATATTAATATATTAACAAAACTGGTCAGAGGCTCTGTCTTCCTCTGTGTGCACTGTCTGAACTACCCCACAGGACAGAAATATTTAGGTAAATATTGCAAATAACACATGCATACCATAGCTTTGTCATGTTAAAGTGAAGGACTAAAAGCTGATACTCTATGTAACAGGCCATCTTTGAGAAATGTATGTCACAGTTTAAAATACATGATTCCACATAAAAAGACATTTTCTTCAAATCTTCCCGAGTTTGAAGACAATAATTAATTATTTTATTTAAACAGCAGAGATTTGTATTTGTATGGAGTGGTCCCCATCACCCACACGCAGAGGACTTAATGGCTGAACAGCCAGTGGATAAGTATTTGCAAGAATTACTTATTCAACTATGACTCCCAGAAGACAAATCTTTGAGAAGACAAAATCTTTGAGAAGACAAAACTCAGTCCTCAAAAACAAAAAAGTCCACAACTACTGACAAATGGGAACAGTACCATAGAAGTTAGATGGGAATAGTAGCAGAAATAGAATGAGACATAAAAGTCCTAAAGGCACCAGATCCCATCTGATCTTGGGAGTTAAGAAGAGTCAACAATAGTTAGTACTTGGATGGAATGCCAATGAATCCCTGGTGTTATGGGTTGTATTCCAAAAGGAGAAACTGGCAAAGCCACCTCTGAGTGTACCTTGCCTAAGAAAGCTCAATGAAATTCATGTAGTCACTGTAAGTAGACAAGCAACTTGGAGGTACATATATACAGCAGAAATAGAGATAGAATGGTATAGGTGATTGATGGGGGGAAATGGTGAAGAAGTTAACCTTGTAGAGTAACAGAGTCAATCTGTAAGGAAATATGATCTGTTCATAGATTCATAGAGTTGGAAGAGACCTTGTGGGCTATCCAGTCCAACCCCCTGCCAAGAAGCGGGAAAATTGCATTCAAAGTACCCCCGACAGATGGCCATCCAGCCTCCTTTTAAAAGCTTCCAATGAAGGAACCTCCACCACACTCTGGGGCAGAGAGTTCCACTGCTGAACAGCTCTCACAGTCAGGAAATTCTTCCTAATGTTCAGGTGGAATCTCCTTTCCTGTAGTTTGTAGCCATTGTTCCGCGTCCTAGTCTCCAGGGCAGCAGAAAACAAGCCTGCTCCCTCCTCCTTATGACTTCCCCTCACCTCTTTATACATGGCTATCTTGTCTCCTCTCAGCCTTCTCTTCTTCAGGCTAAACATGCCCAGCTCCTTAAGCCGCTCCTCATAGGGCTTGTTCTCCAGACCCTTGATCATTTTAATTGCATTTTTTTCGACTGTTGTTTCGTATTGGTATATTTTAGTCACATTTTTTCATTGCCCATTACCAGGCAGAAGTTGAATTTGCTTCGGATAATTTAGAGAGCAGTAAATCACCACCTGAAACCCATTGGGTGACCTTGGGCAAGTCACACACTCTGAGCCCCAGAAAATCCTGGAACATGTCAGTTCCGAATTATGGCCTTAGGAAATGACTTGAAGGCCAACAATCCATTGACCTAAAACAGGTCAAGAGAAGGTGATGGATTCTTACTCTCCATGGCCAATGGAATTATTCTGAGAAAAATAGGATATTTCACGTGATTTTCTGAAAAGTATGTTGAGGATCGAGTCTTTCCAAAATTGATGTGGCAACCAGAAAACATTAGAGCCCCAATATTCCCGAGAAACTCAATTGTTTAAAGAGTGGAGAAAATGAACTCCTACCCTCATTTAGATTTGTGCTATTTCAAATAGAAATAGACTTGTAGAGAGACCATCATAATTCCTTGTTTTATTTGTCAAAAGCCTAAAGTGGATTCATTGTGTACAGTGAAAAGCAAGTTAGAAGAAATAAAGACAACAAAGCAGTTCAGTACAAGTCTCAGGAGGCACAGCAGACAGAACATGAAAGGAATCCTTCAAAGGAGGACCTCACAAGTTAGTATGCAGTTCAATTAATTTAAAAACAAACAAATGCAAATGACTGTGGCAGAGAGAAGACTACAAACTTAACATACAATTGAGTGGTAACAGCTACACTAAAGTGTCATTCTCTGCAATCCAGAGAAAACGGTATAACAGAGTTTTCCAAACTGTGTGTCGGCTGCAGTGTGTGGGTGTGTAGTGCAAACATAATGAGGAATGACAAAAAATTATGTCCATATCTCTTCTAAGTGGTTGGTTTAACCTCCGGTTTGCTAGTTAACCTGAATTACTCTGTTGTGAAGTGATGCATGTCTAAAAGGTGCGTCACCAACATGGTATGTATGGAAAGTTCTGCTGAATAAGGTCAGATGGGGAATGTACAGATATTAAGTGCACATGGGCTGTCTCCATTACTTCCAAGAGAAAAAATATGAGTAATATGTGCCAAAATATGCACATATAGCTGCTTCTTCCTGAATTAAAATGAATAAAAACTCCTTTGGGTAAAAGAGTTCCAGGTACATCTTTCCATTCCATTTCTTTCTTTGCCACATTCTCATTTAATAACCTGCATGTGGGGGAAATCTACTGTCTTTACTCTGTGCTTAAGATGTTTGTTATTTATTCGTTCAGTCGCTTCCGACTCTTTGTGACCTCAGGACCTGTCCATGTCCGAGCTCCCTGCCAGCTGTCACCACCCCCAGCTCCTTCAGATTCAAGCCAGTCACTTCAAGGATACCATCCATCCATCTTGCCCTTGGTCAGCCCCTCTTCCTTTTTCCTTCCATTTTCCCAAGCATCATTGTCTTCTCTAAGATGTACACAGGAAAAATACTAGTGATTTTTGCTTCCCTCCATTTATCTAATTTTCTCCCATATGTTTCACTGTGTGCACCTCTATAGTAAATCAACTATTATGAGCAATGGTACAACAGCAATGGTATAAGCCAAACCCTGACTTCATCGCACAAGTTTAATACAGCTTTTTTGTCTATCAACAAAACAGATTGAGGACAAAATTGTGTATCAATTAATCACCTTCAAGATCATATTTGTCATGGATTTATTTAACAAACAACAAAATTGTGCATGAACCAAAACATTTAAATTAAATAAAAAATACCACAACAAGGCATTCTTTTTTACATGCTGGACTAATTAAAACACACACACACACAGGAAATATTTTAATACTTATATTTTTTTAAAAAATCCCCAAAGTAAAACAATGCAAGAAGTCCATGAATGTTTTGGGAAATAATGATTTGTTTTTCAAAGCCATGCAAAAAATAGGTTAGTTTAAGAACTGCAAGAAAACTATTCAACAAATCACTAGGAGTCCAGAAGATGGAAATTAGGAAGAGAGTGTACCTGTGTACCTCCGACAGAGAGGAATCACTTTCATCAGACCTACAATGAACAGTGGTAAGATTATGGAGAAAGAATACAGGTATCAGCAGAGTAAAGGGTTCATTTAAAAAAAATGAACAGCATTGCTAGATGAGAAAGCAAAACCTGTTTGTAGAGTGCATCCAAACTGGCTTTACTGGGTTTAGTAATATTGGGGAATGTTAAAACAATGTATGTTTCTCCATATCAAAAAATATTTTAATATTCTAATTATAGATTCTTATGGAAGTCATTTCCAGTTTCCTCAATAATTTTTTGCAAAGGTCAACAGGGAAGAGAGGATTTTAAAAGACAAGATTATATGGTCACAACGTAGCTTTGTTCTTTTCTTGTTAATTTTTACATGAATTATGAAAGTGGAAGGTAATCTAAGGGTGTTCAAAATCATAATTATCTATTTATTTAAAAATGCATTAACCTTATTTTTAAATGAATGAAGACACTGCCATATAATGTTTGTTTGCAATCATTTAAAAATCCTCAGTTTTTTTAAAAAAACATACAATTACACCTTTTTAAAAATCTTGTCAGAAGCAACTTGAGAAACTGCAAGTTGCTTCTGGTGAGAGAGAATTGGCAACAGAGATGTTGCCCAGGGGATGCCCGGATGTGTTACCATCCTGTGAGAGGCTTCTCTCATGTCCCCGCATGGGAAGCTGGAGCTGACACATGGGAGCTCACCCCATCTCGCAATTTGATCTGCCAATCTTCAGATCAGCAGTTCAGTTGGCAGAAGGGTTTAACCCATTGCACCACTGTGGCTCCTAGAAGTATATCTTCATTTTCAAAGCAAATCAAACATGCTGAGCTATTTGAATATAATTTCAATGACAAATCAAAGAATATATTAAGACATGTATATTGATTCCATATTGACTTTCTGCTTTTAATGTTGTGAATTTATGGTCTTAATGTTAACACTTTTAAAAATAATATAATGTTTTAATGTTTTACACTCCAGGTCTGTGATAGTAACAATAAAATTCATTCATTAAATCAAAGCATAGACAATCTTTAAAGTCGCTATCTCCAATCAGTATAATTACAACTATAGTATTATTACTTGAAATAGCTACAAGCATGGCCTAAAACTAATTGAAAGCTTTAAGGCAACCGTTAGGAACTTATTTAGTTGCAGCTGAGACAATAGATCAAATCAGAAGAGGAAGAACAGCAACAGGAGAAAATGCTACAATTAAAAGCAGAGGTAAGCTCAATTTTGCAGCACTTCAGATTCAGAAACCTTGCAATAAGATTCTGGATCAACCTATATGGGCTGTCACTTTTTTCAAAAAGAAAAAAGGTTAACAAAACAGTTGTTCACCCCCTTGATATGCCATAAACCCTCACTATGTGTTTTGTGGGTGACTCTAAGAACTGATTCCTTGCAAATCTAGTTATGCAAGAAATGTCTTAATTGTCTGACAACAAACCCTGCATCACCCAACAGCAACTCAAGGAAAAACTATTGTGACTTAAGAAACATAACACAGGAAAACAGACCACTGAGGGAGCATGTGAGAGGGAGTAGGTTGCATAAGTACAAGAAGTAAGTTTCAGCAGGAAATAAGAGTTGAGGACCTGTGGCATCACCAGGTCATCTCCTCTGAGGTGGGGTGGAGTGGAAGGAATAGCAAGAGAAAGAGCCATTTTAGTTTCATCCCTGGCATCAAGAGAGCCAGAGAATTAGTTCTGAAGATATATTTCAGGCTTGTGTGTGCTTTGGGCACATCCACAAACCACGGGATTCTGGGTCTTTCCTTTGTGACTTACTTATCCTGCTGAACTGACGTGTTTCCTTGGGAAACAGTAAGGCGGCTAAAAACATTCAGGTCATTACGGGATCGGCTTGGTGGGGAGGAAGGAGGTGACAGACTAGCCTCTGAGGTTCCAGAATCTGAGCTACAAGAAAAAAATTAAACATTAAAAGCCTCTTCTATCAAAAAAAAATCATAATAATAATGAAGGCAAATGAAATTGTTAGAGAGGTTAAAATGAATTAAACATGCCTTGGAACAAGTCACCGATGCCGACTTGCTTAATCAGGAGATGCAGTTTTGTAAACTAACCAAGCAGAACTTAAATATAGAAGAGTAAAAAAAAAGTTGCTGGCCACAAGGCGGCAGTATATTCATTCAAACATCTTTTCAGAAAATTAACCTACACATAGAAAAAGGCAGCGTAAAAAGGAAGAGAGCTCAAATAATAGCTATAGGTGCCTGAAAGACTCTGAGGAGCATTAAAAATAATTATCAAGTATTACCAAAATTTTCACATGGATTTTCAGTGTGGCATTAAGCCAGGCACAATCACATGTCTTTACAAAGGAGTCTTCTGAAATAAAATTAAGTTACTTTGAAGATTTAAGGCACAAAAAGCCAGAATTACATTTAAAAATGAAATTTCTTACTGTTTTTGTTCTTTTGGCTTTGGTTTATCTGGAGATTTCTCATAGGTTTTTCTCTTTGATAAAGGTGAGGGTTCTGGGATTTTCTTTTCTGTCAGAGATGACTGTCTAGATCTGAGACAACAAAAATCATTGTTTGTCTTAAAGCACTAGTTCATATATGTTAGCTGTATACGCATTATTTGCAATTTTCTAATTACAGTTGACAGAATGAAAAGCAAAGAGGGCTCTTGTACCTTTAATGGCTGTGCGGAAGAGGTATTTCAGTAGGTGTTGCTTATAACTTGGTTGCATGCTGAAATTCCCTCTTTAGCACAACCACAAACATGTTCAGGAGCCCTGTTCACTTTTGACTCTGGCGACCCTATTTTTAATTGTCAGGTGTCTAGAAAAAAAGGAACAGGAGATAAATGAACATCTATTAAAGTAAGTTCATAAACACATGCATACTCCTCCTGATGACTGCACCGTCAGGTATATGTCAGCAAGGGATGTAGAGAAGAGACAAACACCCGGGATATTAAGAAAAGACATTTTTATGCTATTTTTTAAACACCCTGAGACTTTGTCTCTTCTGTATATCCCTACTATTGGATGTAGCCAGTCCTTGTTGCAGCATGCCAAAGACCAACTTTTCATATTGTAACAACGCATCACAAGATTTCAATGGAAACATTGTGTAAACTCCACAGGCTCCTTGTAGGCATTGTGTGTGACTTGATAATTGATTGCATGAGCAGACAGTTTCTTGAGGAAACACTGTCTAACACAAAATGTTTTCCCCCAAGAATCAGAATAATGTATCCGAATAATGTCTACTCCCTGTAACTTGTTCAAGAGCTCAAATGGAAAATTACATCTTTCAAACATAATCAAACATCCTGCTCCCACAGGGCATTCAATGTGTTTCTCTTTCTTCTTTTTATATTTTTCTAACTCAAAGTTGTTGCCTGGGATATTATTTTTGGAGAGGGACTAAGCAGGCATCCTGAACCTTTGTTCATTTTCTTCCTTCCAACCCTGCCCCGTCTCAGCTACATTTGGCCGTTGGGAGATCTCATATAGCTATTCTTCTCCCTCCTATTGAGAGCAATACCCTTTGATATTCAGGCACAATCATTCCCATAACCAAAACCCTTCCAAGAAGAATCCAAAAATACCAGCAACTGTGTTATTCCATATCTATAAATTAGCTTTTGACAATTTTCATCTCTACCAAAAATCAGATGTTTTGTAAAATGAATGAGGGTTGAAGAGACCACTCAGGACCAGCTACAATACGTTAAAAAACCAAACCAATGCAAAACACTATGCACTGCAGCAGCAACTCAAAATAATATATTGTTTCTTGTAAAATCCATCCTGGTACTCATCCTGAATCCAGAAGGAGAATAGAGGGATTGTCAGCTATTACAATTCTAACCTACTAATTAGAAAGTCCCAACATGTCACTATATTTCTTTACTAGTGGGAGTCTATGCTTCTAGTAGGATTTTCTATGTCAGACAGACTTTTATTGAAAAGTCATACTAAGTGCACCAAACTGTCACTTGGCAGCAGCAGAGAGTGGAAGGTGCCACTAGGGAGGATCTCTATGAGACAATAGAAGAACTGTGCCAAAATACAACTTGAAGAGCATGCACATCAAATTTGAAGATAATGTTTAAAAAAACATGACCGGCATTATTAATGCTAATTGACCAGGAACCAGAATAACTCTGGACTAAAGTCAGGGAGGACAGATGATCTAAGAAACCAAAGGGAAATTTAAACCAAGATTGGGGATGCTATACAATCAGCAAGAAACACAATACATGGCTAAATACAAATAAAAAGATATTAGGAACAATATGAACTAGATAAAAGGATAACAATTTCATACAAAAAAAACCCCCAACAATTAAAAAGTAAAGTTGAAGAGCAACTGGAAGAAATAAATCACCAGAAACAGATGGCACACCAACAAAGCTGCTTCAAACCACAGAGACTCTAGAGATCTCTAGTTTTAACTAAAATCTATTCACAAATACGAAAAAATACAGTAATGGCTTTCATGGCCGGAATCACTGGGTTGTTGTAGGTTTTTTCGGGCTATATGGCCATGTTCTAGAGGCATTTTCTCTGGACGTTTTGCCTGCATCTGTGGCAGGCATCCTCAGAGGTAGTGAGGTCTGTTGGAATTAGGGAAAAGGGTTTATATATCTGTGGAATGACCAGGGTGGGACAAAGGACTCTTGTCTTCTGGAGCTAGGTGTGAATGTTTCAACTGATCACCTTGATTAGCATTTGATTGCTTGGCAGTGCCTGGAGCAATCTTTTGTTGAGAGGTAATTAGATGTCCCTGTTTGTTTCCTCTCTGTTGTTGTGCTGTTCTAATTTTAGAGTTTTTTAATGCTGGTAGCCAGATTTTGTTCATTTTATGGTTTCCTCCTTTCTGTTGAAATTGTCCACATGCTTGTGGATTTCAATGGCTTCTCTGTGTAGTCTGACATGGTGGTTGTTGGTGTGGTCCAGCATTTTTGTGTTCTCAAATAATATGCTGTGTCCAGGTTGATTCACCAGGGGCTCTGCTATAGCTGATTTCTCTGGTTGAAGTAGTCTGCAGTGCCTTTCATGTTTCTTGATTCGTGTTTGGATGCTGCGTTTGGTGGTCCCTATGTAGACTTGTCCACAGCTGCATGGTACACGGTAGACACCTGCAGAAGCGAGAGGATCCCTCTTGTTCTTTGCTGAACGTAGCATTTGTTGGATTTTCTTGGTGGGTCTGTAGATAGTTTGTATGTTGTGTTTCCTCATCAGCTTCCCTATGTGGTCAGTGGTTCCCTTGATGTATGGCAAGAACACTTTTCCTCTGGGTGGATCTTAAACTTTACTCTCGTGGCTTGTTCTTGGTCTTGCAGCTCTTCTGATGTCTGAGGTATTTATTGGCCTGTAGAGCCCAGTTTAGGTGGTTCAGTTCATCTTGGAGGAGGTGGGGTTCGCAGATTCTTTTTGCACGGTCTGCCAAGCTTTAATGGTGCTTCTTTTTTGACTTGGGTGGTGGTTGGAGTTTTTATGTAGATATCTATCTCTGTGTGTGGGTGTTTTCTGTAAACGGTGTGACCCAATTGTTGATCTGGTTTACGGATGACTAGGACATCTAGAAAAGGCAGTCTTCCTTCATTTTCTTTTTCCAACAGACCTCACTACCTCTGAGGATGCTTGCCATAGATGCAGGCAAAACATCAGGAGAAAATGCCTTTAGAACATGGCCATATAGCCCGAAAAAACCTACAACAACCCAATACAGTAATGGTCCTTAGATTGGAAATAATATATATTCCAATTCTGAAGAAAGGGAACATCAGGGATTACATTGAGCATAGGACCACTGCATTAGTCTCCCACCCAAGCAAAGGGATGCTCAAATTCCTAAAGCAAATGAAATCTGAACTCTCCCCTAGAAGCCAATATGACTAATCTGAGATTGTCATACTTTGAACATACCATGAGAAGACATGACCCACATGAAAAGGCAATTATGCTTGGTGAGTTGTAAAGCATCAGGAAAAAAGAGAAAGCAAATTACAGATGATTAGATTCACTCAAGGAAGTCACAGTTCTGAGGTTGCAAATGCTGAGCAGGACTGTCAATGATAAAGTGACTTGGATGTCCCTCGTTCATAGGCAAGAGTTAACAACCATCAGAAAGACTCAGCACCACATCCCCCCTTAACTAGAAATATTCACAATTTTTCAACTTTTGCAGGAGAGCTGAACCCATAACATCTGCAAAAGTGGCTGTATTTCAGAGAAAGAAATTGGCAAAACTATTGTTTGAACATTCTTTGCCCATGAAAATTGTATGAAACTCATGGGTTCACCATAAATTGACAAGTGACTCAAAGGCACATACACACACACAGAAGAGTTAAATATAGACATCACTTGTCATTCTAATTACAGTTAGTGGGCACAAGCCTACAGATGAAGTTGATAGATAAACAAATAAGATTAAATTGGAGACACACAGGTGTGGCTGTGAAGCACACAAGCAAAAACTATCTTCAAATCTTAAATGAATGTAATGTGTCCCACACACCATGACATAATTAGTATTGCCTTAGGGATTAATGCACTGTTTTTCATAATTATCCTGCTATCTCTCCTTCCCAGCTACCAATATCCTGTTTTGTTTTGTTTTAAAATCTCTAGGGGAAACTGCAATTGCACATTTACTGGCATAAACTCAGCCTGCTTTTAAGTGTACATGGCTTTAATGTTATTTTATTTTTCATTATAATGGAAAGTTACTGAGATAAATCTAGCAAATGTGCCAATGGAACACAAGCAGACACATGTTCTAAACAGGAACAGAGAAAAACAGAAAGGGCAAAGCAAAAAACAAACAAACACGGGAGTGATAAAGATCAATGACAAATTCTGTGTTTATAGAATTCCCTTGGTAAAAGCAGTCTAGATAAAGGCAGCAATGAGAAGAGAGAAAGCATTAATTTCTCTGCTGCTTCCTATCATTCCAATTAGCAGGCATTTGTTTTCCCTTCTGTGGTTTACAGAAGTTCTCAGGGGGTGACAGTACATTGGATTATAACAACCATGCATGGAAAATCATTCTATACGGACATTTTAGTTGACTTCTAGGGGGCAAGGAATTGGAATACATGATGTAATTGGACAGATTCATGATTTTTAAAATTTTTAAATGTGTTTTCATGTTATATATTTACATTTCAAACTTTTTGCCTCCTATATTTTTTGGACTACAATATAAATCAGAATTAGTTTCCATGATGAACGGTCAGGAATTATGGGAGATAGCCAAAAGACACAAAAGAAGGAAGATGAAGAAGGCTGCTTTGCTCGAAGGGATCTTTTTCCTAGGATTAAAACTTGTCTAAAAACAACTGACAAATTGATTTGCCTTGATTTACACACACTCTCAAGAAATAAAGAAAGTTAATTTGTCTTGCAAGGATTCTAAGGTTTATGTAGTTTCTATTTCTCAATCTTGTGGTCACACATCTTTATTTCAGATGATTTTAGATGCCCTTAATAATTGAATTTGATTACATTTTAGATTTCAGATATCACAAAGGAGCACAGAAGTTGTGAAAGTATTATAGTCGGCCCTCTGAGTCCATGGCTTCTGCATTCATGGATTCAGTCACCCATGTCTTGAAAATATTCAGGGGAAAAAATTCCCAAAACAGACTTTGAGGAAATCCTTAAAAATCAGCCACCGTGGAAAAGGTGGTTTTGTATGGCATAGTGTCAGTGTTTTTGTTTTCAGCATAACAGATCCAGTGCCTTGAGTGATATGTATGAGAGCCAATGTGGTGCAATGGTTATGTGCTAGACTAGGACTGTGGGAGATGAGAGTCTGAATCCCCACTTGCCCATGGAAACCCACTGGGTGACCTTAGGCAAGTCTCATGCTGCAGGCTCAGAGAAAAATAATGACAAATTCCCTCTAAAACAATCTTGCTAGGAAACTCTGTTTCACCATAGGTTAAAACATTATTTCATGGCACACAATTCTTTCTCTCTCACACACACACAAAACTATGTGGGGCAACTGAAAACATACTAGCTGCTCATGTACATAATCTCATTAAATTCTGAGCTGTTCAAGAATTTCTCATTATGATGTCATAGCCTGGTACACTATGTTCATAATATATTACATTCAGATCAAATAGTTGGGTAAGATTAATCAAAACCACTGGTTTCACTTCTCAGACTACCCCCATCACACAGGCAAAATTGCCCATCCTCTTATAAAAGTTTGACCTCACCAGATGCAGACCCCGCCAAATCCCATCACACAATGTAGATCTACTTTCAGTGGGGCTCTGTGCCTGAAATGTGGTTGAATTGTTGTAAGAGGCAGTTCTGGAAACATGGGAGGCTTCCCGTATTCCATTGAGAAAAATGGGGGAAAGCTGGCTGGTGGCACTCCTCCCCCCTTGAGATGAGGTAGGGTTACACAGAGTGATGGGTTCTCAATGCCCCACACCAGATTCACCACAATCCATGATGAATCCTCCCACCATCGCTTGCAAGTAAGACCTCAATGTGATGGTCCATGGTCAATGTTTTAGATTAAGGAAATCTGCAACACAAGATGTGCATATAAAGCTATAGATGGGTGTTCAAAGGTTTTAAAGCATTATCACTCTGTTATATACCCACAAGAGTCACATCCAGACAATCCATGACATTATGATTTGAGGGAGAAAGTCCTTTAGATCAGAACCTCAGATAATGCAAAATTAGTCTCAAGAGCAAACTATACACGAGATAATTCATATTTTGCTTTGTAAATACCATTTTGGAAAATTACACAAAACATGTAATCTTTTGAGCCTACACCAATCTATAAAGGAGCCAGTTCATGCCCTAATAATGTGCCTACAAGGTATGTCACTAACTTGAGTGTTATATATTTATGTTCTGTCTTTTCATTTTTCTCCTTTCTTGATACTCCAACATTAACCAGAACCTACAATTTACAGGGTTGGCACGAGCTCTCAAGTACAACAGCCATTGGATATTATACGGCAGACAAATATACCAGACTTCAAATGTTATTTCATATCTTTAAAAGTAAAAATAACCACACAGTGCTTTGTGAAAAAGATATATTTTGGGAGAATGATTATGTAACTCCTTCTGTTTCTGCCACAATTCAGTAAAAATGGTCCTAGCACAAAGCTAGTTTTCTATCAACAGTGATGCAGGAATCAATGTTTTATCCCAGAAAATTGTTGTTGATTCTGAGCAAAGAGAAAGCCAAAGCAAAGAAAAATCTATAGATTATATACCATTTCTTCGATGCTCAGATTTATAGCCTAGTATGGCTGATTTTTACTTTTTTTAAAAAATGTAAGGAGACTATTACAGATATCTACCAAGTAAAGGCCATTTTGATCCAAAACTAAACAGAGACCTCACAACCTCTGAGGATGCCTGCCATAAATGCAGGTGAAATGTCAGGAAAGAATGCTTCTGGAACGTGGCCATGCAGCGCGAAAAACTTACAACAACCCAGAGCTGGGGCTGTTTCCCACATTACACAAAAGTACATCTGGAGCTGAGGCAATCACAGCTAACTGATGCATAACACTTTATAATATAAAAACAGAAATCACACACATATTTGACATCTTAGGAGAACATCTGAAAGTATAACACGATGGATCCAGACTTAGTCATCTATACTGAACTGAATGGGCTAAAATCCTGACTTGTCCTGTATCTGCTCTTGATCCAAGCCTACCTATGAAATTGTTATTAAGAAGTCAGTATGGCCTTTCTGTATTACTGTGGAAAATGAGAACATAGAATTGGAGCAAAATGAATGAATTCATTCATTTCCAAATTTTATGTACTATTTCCTTCACATGAAACAATTTGTTATAGCAAAATACTTAGGAAACTGTAAGAAAAGTTACCTGGATTCTGAATTCCATGTCAAAACACTTCACTTTGTTTAAGTTGCGAGGTTCTCCAAACAGTGCAGCACAAAAAAAGCAGGCTTTCCACCTACTGCTCACTACTATTTTACTTCTGTATTAAAAGCAGTTTTTCAGAGAGCTTTGCAAAAGCAGTCAAGCCAAAATTATTAATACTACCTGCCAGAGCCATCTGTATTTTCTTTTACTGCCACAAGCAACATGCATGAAAAATGTGAAATTAGAATTTGAGCTGCAGTGAAAAAAGTTTTTGTTCAAGTAGGTATGACATATTAGTGCAATTAATACAGGAGCATAACAAATTTTGGTACAGTTTTCAACTGCACTGTTTCAGTACAGTTCACTGCCATTTCATATGAATTTTAATAAGTGGCATCAGAATGAGATTCTTGGTGAAATAATAATATACGCTACACTATCCTAATGTAAGGTTTCTATTTGCCTCAGCTTCACCTTTCTACTGCAGAATATCTGCAGCAGCTGAAATGGGAGGTAAAATTTGTGGAGTACACCATACACTAAAAGGGACCCATTTCACAAATAATACGTTTACTAGATCTACTCAATGCAAGTATTTTAGAAATACTACAAAACTGCTTGCTACTCATTGTTATTGGATTTTAGGGCTTCTTAAAACATTTTAATATATTATCATTCTTCCTCTCTTTCTCTATTTATATAAAATTGAGACTTCCAGTAGCCACACATGCTAAAGAACCCCATCTACTCAAAAATATGAAAAACAGAGAAAAAGATTTGGCCATTCCATGAAAAGAGAACAGTAGAAGTCAGTAGACAAAGGTGAAGATCAGATGATATCTGATTAGCCAGATGTACATCGCACTTTCAATCAAAGTTGTTAAGTCTTCAAGAATTTAGCCACATGCATTTTAAGAGGCTGAAAGGAAGTTAGTGCACTGTGCAAAACTTACATGCTGCCAGTCTTAGAAGGCAAGCCTGACTGCGGAGGAATGACCTCTCTATCCCTAGTTGGAGACTCTTTCATATCAGTGTTCATTCCGCCTTCCTGAACTTCTGCAAGAGATGAAAGAGGGCCAGCCAAAGCTGTGTCTCCTGTACTGGTGTCTGGGGCTAAATCACTGCTATCAGCATAAAGCAATTCCATTTGAGTTGTGGTCCTACGACGTGCCTGGAATAAATTGAACACAAGCAAGCAAAAGACATTTTAAAGTAGGGTACTTACATTAAAATGAACACATAAGTCAATAGCTATTTAACACACCCTAAGTTTCAGTGTGGCCAACCATTCATTATTAAACTGAAGATTTATCATTCCCGTTTCCTTAAATCATGTACCCAGTCATGCAAGTCACATCCTCAATCTCAGAAGAAGGCTAAGACAACCTCCCCTCTGAACAAATCTTGCCAAGAAAACTCCATAAAAGGGTCACAATAAATTGGAACTAATCTGAAGGCACACAAACAATAAATAATACAGGTGATGTCTGAGTGCATACATTCAAGGAAGTTCTGATATCTCATAATACATGAGCTACAACACTTCACAAGTGAGTGATCCACCTGTCATGCTGAAACTTCTTCAATTCTTAAATGTGATAAATCAATAAAAATTATTTTTTTAAAAAATAAAAAAATAAAAAAATAAACTTCTTCAATTCCTTCTCAATATAGAAAGCAGAAGAATTAAATTTAAGAAGACACTTGTCTTTGCATGCCTCTCCAGTCTGAAATCATTCAACTAAGCCAGATCAAACAAATGGTTCACACCTCTGAAATTTCTCTTATCTAAAACTAAAGAGATAGGAGCATGTGGTAAACTATTTATACGTTGAAAGGCTGTGCACCTGGTTAGGGGAAGTGTGTGCAAATGTAGCAATTCTTCACTGTCTGAAAATCTTTTAAGCAGCCTTGTTGAGGGATGTTATTTGTCAGAATTTCTTGATGGAGTATCCTCACCTCAGAGAGAAAGCCACTAGCAAAAGGTTACTTGCCAAGGTTGCTAGTATTGCAGGGTTCTAAAAAATGTGAAGAACAGAACTGGAGACCAATTTTTCAAGAACCTTGTTTTGACCTGCACATTTACTGCCCCCATGGTGATTGTTCTTTCTTCCCCTCCAAATGTTTGATAGTTCATTTCACTTCTAAGCAAACCTAACTATGAAAATAAGCACCCCTTGATGCTGCCAATTCCATTTCCTTTCTCCCACCCTCTAGCCTTGCATCTCCAGATTCCAGGGACAGTAATTGGGGTCATATAATAACTTCCTTGTTAAAACAGCTGCACTGACCACTGGTTTGTCTCTGGGCACAATTCAAAATGCTGGCCATGATCTATGAGTCCTCTACAGTTTAGGTTCAGACTATCTTAAAGACCATATCTCTCTACACCAGTGGTGGTGAACCTATGGTACATGTATAGTTAACTGCATTACAGGAGTCTACACTGACCATATAATGCCGTTTGAACACAGCATTATATGGCAATGGGGATCTTAGTTTTATCATATTAAAAAGTAGACACTATATATTGCACTCATGGGATAGCAGCGTAGCTGACGTATTACTTCTGAATACACAGACATGCTCAGGATTACAGAGTTTCCTGGGCACACTCCCATGGGAAACAGGAGCATTTCCTTAGAAAACATGAAGACAGGTTTCACTATGAGCAAAAGGATGTTGGGATTGTGCTCTAATCCACAGTTTTCACCTTTGAATTATATCAAATCTGACACCTGAAACAGACTAACAGATGACTTGAGTGCTGCATGTGTTGTTCTCAAACTTACAAAGTATGAGCCAAGGTTACACAAATTATCAGCATGTATACCACAGCAAAAACCACGTTCCCTTTCAATAAAAAGTCGTGTGTATCATTAAAGGCTCTGTTATTGTATTTTTCTTTTAAGATAAAGATATTAGTGCATGAGTTGTTTTTCTAAACTAAAATGTTGGTATTCAGGTTACATTGCCATACTGGCACTTCGCAATAAATACTGATTGTTGTAGGTTTTTTGGGCGTATGGCCATGTTCTAGAAGCATTCTCTCCTGAGTTTTCACCCACATCTGCCTAGTATTGAACAGACCTCACAACCTCTGAGGATGCCTGCCACAGATCCAGGCAAAACGTCAGGAGAGAATGCTTCTAGAACATGGCCATACAGCCAGAAAAACCTACAACAAACCAGTGATTCCGGCCATGAAAGCCTTCAACAATACATGAATAAGTATATTTTGGGTTGCAGTTTGGATACCCGATCTCTAAAAGGTTCGCCATCACTGCCCTATATAAATCTGATAGTACCTTAAGATCTACAAGGGACGGCTTTCTCCCAGTTTCCCCACCAAAGTTTGGTGAGGATAAGGGAAAGAGCCTTCTCAGTGGCTGCTCCCACCTTCTGGAATTCCTTTTCATAACAGGCTAGGCTGTGCCTGTTACCTGCTTTCCTTTAATCAGCAGGCAGACTAATTCAAAACAGACTAATTCACAAATAAGGCAAAAAGAAGATTAACTAAGGCTATTCAACATGATAAAAGGAAATTGTAAAGGTTTCAGAGAGTCTGACTCAGATGACAAACAACTGATCACTCTCACAATGATTTCATGATCTGTGACTAATCTAAGAAACAAAATACGTCAGAAGAGATGACTGGCTGTACAGCTTCAATGCCCTCACAATGTCTTCATAACCACTATGATTGGAAAGTCCTGATGAGATTCTTATCACAGATTGCATAACACAGATGTCTGTGAGCAAAGTCCACCTCCTCTTCTGTTGATATCACCTTAGCATTTTTTTTTCTGATATGGCTATGTTGGAGATATATTGCTTAATTTTACCACCCAGTTCTTCAGACTGCTTCTGACTGTGCTATTCCATTCAAAAAACCTGGCTCAGAATCTGATTTGATCTGAAGCTGGTACAAATTGGTTTAAATCGGTCCTATTTGTTTCATTATTTGGGATTTTGACAAATCCCAAAACTGCATGGCCCTAAAATATTTCAAGTGCTCCATCTTTGCTGAGCTTTAGATTATATAATTATGCCCAGAAACCCCTCCACTCTATTATATTGTCATTCACAGAGCTTACCTTATTTTTAGGCTTGACTTCGCCACAAAGCTTCATGAGGTCAGAAGACAAGGAACTGAAAAGCAAATTGGCAACTCAATGAAAAGCTTTAAAAGAAATAAAATAACTCTTCCACCCTTAGACAGCTAATTCTAGCAGTAAGATCACATAGCTGTACTATAGTTATGAAGATTCACACATCTATGCACAGCATTTTATTGCTCTAATCCAGAACAGTAGTTTTCTTCCAATAGTTACTTTGAAACCGATACCAAAATTCACAAATGGTAAGTTTCACTTGAGCTACCAAGTATGCATTTGTGATCCTGTCCTAGCTGATGTTTTATTCAACAGAGGTCAGCAGAATACACTGATTTTACTGGTGAAGATATTTTATTGACCACAATTTGGACTGATTTGGATTACGTTTTAACCTGGTGAACTGTTTTAATTTATATTTATAATCATTTTTATGTATTTTTGCTGTATTTATTTGTATTTTATATTGTGTCGACATCGAATTGTTGCCTGTTGGAAGCCGTCGTGAGTCCCTCTTCAGAGGTCGATAAGGATGGGGTATAAATGTTTTAAATAATAATAATAAATGACTTGATTGACCCTTAGAAACTAAGTAGAAGTAGCCACTGCATGGAAAGAATATAGGTCTTCTGGAAGACAGTTAAAGCTGGGACTCATTATTTTGAGACAAAGGGGAAGAAATGGCCAAGGGCTGGAAGAAATTAGTTAGTGTTCTTACTATTTAAGAGACACAATAAAAAGAGAGAGAAAAAAAATTAAGTGAGCTTATCCTAGTTATATATTTATCTGCAGCACCTTCAGCCCTTTAACTCATTCCCCAGTTTCTTTAGAATCTGTATAGGAAGATGCCGAGTGAAGCTGCCTTGGTCAGACCACACCTGGAATACTGTGTCCAATTCTGGGTAACAGAAGGGAGATGTTGACAGGTTGGAATGTGTCCAGAGAAGGGCAGTTAAAATGATCAAGGGTCTGGAGAACAAGCCCTATGAGGGGTGGCTTAAAGAGCTGGGCATGTTTAGCCTACAGAAGAGAAGGCTGAGAGGAGATGTGACAGTCATGTATAAATATGTGGTGGGAAGTCATAGGGAGGAGGGAGCAGGCTTGTTTTCTGCTGCCCTGAAGACTACGCTGTGGAACAATGGCTTCAAATTACAGGAAGGGAGATTCCACCTGAACATTAGGAAGGAATTCCTAACTATGAGAGCTGTTCAACAGTGGAACTCTCTGCCCCAGAGTGTGGTGGAGTCTCCTTCTTTTGAGGCTTTTAAACAGAGGCTAGGTGGTTATCTGTCAGGGGTGCTTTGAATGTGATTTCCCTGCTTCTTGGCAGGAGGTTGGATTGGATGGCCCATGAGGTCTTTTCTATGAAACCAAATTATTTAAATGAAATTTGATAATAATCTTTCAAAAAGAATCTACCTCTATAGTTTATACTGATTTCTCACCTTCCTTCAGCCCCAGGACTGTTCAAAGGAGCATCTTCATCTGTACTGTCATCCATATTTTCTGGAAAATTCCCAAAGTCATTATTTTGTTAGGCATTTTTGTATGCAATATACATTTCCTCAAAGGTTCCTACTACTGCTGAAAGGGAAATGAATTTCCATTGCCTTCGCACTGTGACAGGAATTCAGCTAAATATGAGAGATCTAGTTTGCCAGAATAGCCATATATTTAGTTCTCACAACTCCAGGCTGCTGTAACTGTTGTGTCTTACAAGAGGTAAGTTAATGTATTTGCTGTCAATGGGTAGTGATACATTATACATCATTTTATATAACTATATATTGTTTGAATGAATATTCAATGAAAGCAGGGAGGTATGGCATGTATTATGTATTCATTTAGTATACATGTTAAATTTAGCAGGCAATTACAACTTGGGTAAACTTTATTAATAAACAACCACTTAAGCCTTGCAAAGCACAATGATTTTACTATGCTATGTTAACACAACAGTTTCCTAAATAACTATAGCATCTATAGAAGAAATGGAAAGGGCGAGGAGCTACACAAATGAAATGAAACCTGCAACAAACAGTGATCACTGTATGCATCTGCTCACACAAGAAAAACACTTGCATGCTTGTCAGTTGTTGCCACAGTACATCATAAACATGTCTGCATGCAGGGAAATGCCAAATGGATAAGCCCATAACAAACATATACACCACCTATCACTGAAAATATTCTAAGTTTAAATCAAAAATACATACATAAAAACCCAAGGAAAGGGAAATACTAAAGGAATTGTAAAAGTTCTCAAGCCCTAAATCCAACATAAAGCAAAAATCATTGGCTGGGACTAGTGCCACTCCAAGACACCTGAGCAGAGCCTAAATAATACTGTGACCAATACTAAGTCTTGTTGCACAATTCTAATAACATTCTCTTCCTTCATTTATGCCCCTTCTCAGGTTGACACCCAAACTCCACCATGTCACTTCACTCTTTCATAAATAACACTATCCCCACCCCACCACCATCCCAAAGAGTAGTATATACTAGGGCTGTGCAATCAATGAAAACAATATTTCAATGATCATTATGCAATTGGGAAGTGAATTGTTTGTGAGGGTGTTTCTGAAATTATGGACCTAAATGTTTTTGTAACAAAGTAACAATTTTTGATACTTTTTCTATTAAGTAATTGAGCAAGTGGGAAAACTTTAGGGGCTCATTTATCCCTCATTTTTAGAGCTATTGTGATGAAACTTGCTATAATTGTATCACATATTTCCATTCTTAGTCCACCAAATTTCAGACGTTCCATTCATCCACTAATTTGGGGGGAATTTTGAATGTTTTACAATCAAAATATTAAAAAAGACAAGATTTATCTACTTGAAATTTATATACAATGCACAAAATAAATAGGGCATCAGTCCCCAGAAGTTTCAGAAAGATTCACATATCTACTGATTTTGGTGGATTTGTAAAAGTTTGGACAAAAACCGTTATCCTCCAAATAGTCACAACAACAATCCCCTTGAATGTCTGTCCAACAGTGTGTTTATGACACACAATAAACCATAGAAGTTCAACTCAATACGAATTTATACAATTACTTACTTACTTTAGTCCTCTTTGCAGATTCAATAATTTTATTCGTTATTATTAGACAGACTTTAAATGGCTGGCTGCTGAAGCCATCACTGGGCTTTCTGATGCTGAGCACTGCATACTGGGAAATGTAGTTTAGGGCAGTGTCTTTTGAATTCTCTATCATAGGGGGTTTCACCTTTCCAAACTATATTTCCCAGAATGCTATGTTCTAGTCTATCACCCAGCCCTTACTTATAGCAACCAGGAAGCAGCCTTGGTCTATCAACGACATTTTTGGTTCTACCAAAATTGCTTAATGCTTATACTGAACATTAAACTGATTTTGGGAGGCTTCCAAATGTTACAGAATCTTAACGAAAATTATTAGTGAGTGTTTCCATTCTTACATTTTTCTCTGCCCTTTTTTCCATGTTCCTTAATAGTGATTCATCTGCATGACTCTAATGAATTACTAACAATTTACAGGATTAACTATTATTTTGCACAGCCCTACTATATACTGGACTAAAGAGCAGAAACATAGGTGAGAGGCTGAGAAATCTAACTGGAGTGCCCAGTGAAATTTGGCCAGTTTCTAATCTCCAACCATCCAGTTGCTTTCAAGGGTAACCATACACTTGGTAATTGGGATGAGATAACAATGAAATAAACTGGGGTGAGATATGATTTAGTTATAATCTTCTACGCCAAAATAATAAAACATTTTTTTACCTAATGATGAAGTAAGTTTATTGACAAATGAAAACAGAGACATTAAAACCGAGTAAACAAAGAATGAAAATTATTCTAGATCCATATACTTGACTGAAGCTGCAAGGCACTTAGGCCATGCCTCGTATGAAAATATTAGATTCACTGTAAAAGATGATAGGTCAATCATACTACAATTAAATTGGGGATGGGACCTAACATTTTCTTCTGGTTTCCAAAGTTCTTTGTTGAAAAAAAAAATAAGGGTCTTCATGATTCTAACATAATATTCATTATTTTGATATGTGTTGTTTTAACATGAAACTGATATATAATTTAACTCAATTAAATTTAAAAAAAACAAAGAAGTGGGTAATTGTGCCTTCATCTCCAATCATCCGCTTTTCCTTATGGCCAATAACCCTCTATCAAAAGTACCCTATATTTTATCTGTAACTTTCATGCTATGTACAATCCATCTACACCCCATTACCCAAGGCTGTGGTCTTCTTACTAATTCCCTGGTCTTCTAAAGACACTGGGATTGTTTGCTCCTTACTTGACTAACAGAGCTGTACCTTGCAAGGGAGAACTTCCTTCAATGTGATTAAAAGAACAAAGGCTAAGCTATATGAAGTTTATGTTAGCTGAATGCAAGATTTTACTATTTGTGTCCTCTACACCAGAACTACTCAAAGTAGTGATCCCTCAACCAATGCCAGTTCCCGAGTCACTAGCTCCTCGTCCCAAGAAAGTTTCCAGGGAAGAAACAAAAAATATACCCAACAGGACACAAACTGAGGGCTGATTCCTGACATTCTGCAAAAACTTAACTGTCTATCCCTCAAGTGGGACAACATGAGAAAGCCAAGAAAGTGACAGTGAAAGGTATATATCAAGCTAAAACTTATTCTCAAATCTCATATTGGGACCAAGAAACATGTAACCCTAGAACAGTTTCACAGTAACTGAGTAGCCACGGAGTACATTCTGCACCAAACACGCAACCAGCATAGCATGGTGTGACACTAAAGAAGCATGGCAGTGGGCAAATATAAGGCCATTTCTCCACTATGCAGATTACATCACATATTTCCATGCAATAGGTTCATGCCGAAGAAAGCAACTACAATCACTAATCCGGTTCAAATATAATGGCAGGTAATTCTTATAATTTATAGGCCTGGGCAATCCATGGTCTAAAGTACTTACAAAACTAAAGTTCTGGTGGTGAAAATTTCAGAACTCTAACAAAACTTTCAAAATTTAATTATTATTTCATTATTGGTGATTTTTATGACAGAACCAATTAGGAACTGCCATTTATAATGACATTTTGAGAGTTTTGCTAGAGTTCTGAAATTTTCACCGCCAGAACTTTAGTTTTGTAAGTACTTTAGAACCATTTAGAACCATGCATTGCGCAGGCCTAATAATTTAACCAACCGCTCTGTGCTTCTCACTACTTTTGAAACAATGTTCACAAATCAAGACAAGTATTTTTCCTCCTTATTAACCATGTGACAGGCATAACCACTGACTAATATCAAACATACCATACAAAGACCAATGTTACTTTAAAAACTAAAATGGTATAAAAGCTGAAAAGGAAACTGTTATATCCATTTCTAAAATGAATTTTAGATTAAGAGTTATATTTTGCAAGGAAACATGTGTTATAGCTATAGAAAATGTGAATGCACAATTGTACATGTGACAACATCCTTGTCAACAATAAAAAGATTTTAAGTACATTCACACTTAGTTGCATTCATTTCATATCTGTGTCAGCTGTTAACATCCTACTTCTAATCTTATAAAAAAGTGGCAACCCTAAGGGAAAAAAGACCCTGTAAGCATATAATGAGTACATTTCCCAAATACTACATGCAAACGTAATACACACTGACATTCTGTGATGCGCCAGTTAGTGTACACATATATCATTAGTATGTCATGCAGCTGTGAAGTACACAGAAAGCTACATATACTTACCCAACGGTATGCTATCTAGGTCTGTGTAAAACAACAGCAAAGAGGAAACAAAAAGCAACACTCCAATCAAAACCAATCCATTTGCAGAGTGGTCAATATAGTCCTGCATTACATGATAAACGGATTTATTCTATCAGAATTATTAGAATAGATGCCGTAGTGCACAAATTTGACAAATGTTCTGTATTTCAACTGAGTACAAAAATTTAAACACTGATAATTGTATCATTCCAATTGGTTAAACTCCTAATTATGTACAGTAGTGCTACCTGAATTCAAGGTGTAACAGTCATTAACTGTGTGGTTTCATGTAATTTGCAAAAAAAACCTTTGCATGCACAAACTTTGAGTAAAGATTTATAATGTAAATACAGCATCTATTCATACACCACCTTATTTGAAACACACTGAATACAACATGCATCATAAGCAGATTTAGCATGCAGTATGAGTATATTTTCAAAAATATTGAAATTACCTTGCAATGCAGGGCCCAGCAGAGCATCAAGTTCAGGATTCAATTCTGCCTTTTCTTTCAGCATGTGAAATAGCAGCTGATTTTGAGTAGCACTGGTAATTTCTGTTTGCTTAAGGCGTCCTTCAAGGACTTTAATCTGAGCTTCCTTCTGAGCTGCTTGTAGACCCTGTTGATGATGCAAAAAAAAAAGTATTGTTTCCTCAAAACTATTCTTGTAAGCAAGCAGTCATATAGATATACGTGTACATAAATGTGTGTGTGCAAAAATGCATGAATTCAGGCATTTGGATGAATGTATACAGCATATGCAGATACTTAAAATTATTGAATCACAATTGGAAGAGACCACAAAGGTCATCCATCCAACTCCATTTTTTATAATCTATGGCTGTCACCCTAAAAAAGGAGCCCCCGGTGGCGCAGTGGGTTAAACCCTTGTGCCGGCAGGACTGAAGACCGACAGGTTGCAGGTTCAAATCCGGGGAGAGGCGGATGAGCTCCCTCTATCAGCTCCAGCTCCTCATGCGGATACATGAGAGAAGCCTTCCACAAGGATGATAGACACATGAAATCATCCGGGCGTCCCCTGGGCAACGTCCTTACAGACAGCCAATTCTCTCACACCAGAAGCGACTTGCAGTTTCTCAAGTCGCTCCTGACACGACAAAAAAAACCCTAAATAAAATTAATATTTTGCTGCCATCGTATCAGCAGTATGTGGATTTCCTCTCTGGAACCAACCAGATTCAACTTGTAATCTTTCTAATTTTTCCTACAATGTGTTATGCTTTTTTTCTATGCACAATTCATAAATCAAAGGACATTTTATTATGTAGAAGTTATTTTCAATGCACAAGGGGTGGACAAAATAACAAACATTGGCAAAAGCATTATGTAAACTTAAGTTTTCTCTTTCATACACCAGCCAAAATAAAAAGACGAAACTCCTAAAGGACAAGACCCAAAGGCCCCACACTAGTGAAAACTTTTCCTTGTTAGAAATCACTGAAAGTCCAAAGTATATAATGTAGAATGAATCAAAAACTTTACTGACTGAGGCACAGAAGCAAATATTTCACCATCATGTGGTCACCATGCATTCCGGATGCATGAAACTGGCTTTAAGGGATGTTTTTTAAAAACATATCATTAAACAGAAGAAACAGAGGCCACTATTATATGTCACATAAATCTATCTCCTATTGAGTTGATGCTATGGACTTCTAAAACAGTTGAAGCAGCACCAGAATTAAATATTTATTATTAATGGAGATAGCATTTATGGGGATCTCCAGATGTTGCTGGTCTGCACCCTTTAACCAGCACAGTTAATGGTAAAGAATACTTGTACTTGCAACCCAAGAACCTCTGGAACATCAACTTCCACCCCGATACTATAAAGTGACACACACACACATTTTCACATTTGTGTTGTACCCATACACTTTTTTTTTGTCTTCAGCTCAATATCATGCAAAAGTAGTCCAGAACGAGTTGCCATAGGTTTTCTAATGTGTTTACCTTATTAATGCCCATTGTAAGGAAATGGTCAAGTAAATATCGTGCCTCTGTTAGCGTACAAGCATTGATAACTGCTGTAACATCTAGAGTCTCTCCTTCCTCCTGTATAAATAGAAATATTGTTAGTTAAAACAAATCACTTGATTGCTCCACAGACGTCATAAGAACTATACTAAAAGATCAGAATGGGTAACTTTTCTAATTGAAAATGAATCCTATTAAGTCTAAAGTATTTAGAAAAAATACCATAAAACAAAACTTTTCATAAGATATAGGTTCATGAAATCTTTATACAGCCAATGAGCTTATTTTAGGTGTTCTGCTTTGTGTTGCTGAAGCACATAAGCAGGAAAGCATGTGAGTCCCACACACTTATGATGACGTATTATTCACCCTCAAATGTGGAGGTAAACTTGGTGAAATTTACAGAGCTCATAAACTATCCATGGAGGCTCTCCACAAAATTTAAAACCTGGTAAGTTAGTGATCTAAATCTCTAACTGCGATTAGAGATGTGGAAATCTCTACAGTTGGGGTAAAAAGTGTGTAATTCTCCATATATTGCTGAATTGCAATTCATGATGAGGATTCAAGTAGAAATAATGTTATCACACTCAGCTATACAAGTGTGCAAGGTATTTTGAATACACAGAATCTGTATAGAAAAAAATGCAGATGATATTTTGTGAATAGTTTCAGAAGAGTGTGATTTTACTTATAAATAAAATCATATCCAGATAAGTAACAATTAGGTTCTTTAACTCTCAGACATGGTAATTTGATTTTAAAGGAAGTGAGGTGACAAAGGGAGTGTGAGAGAACACACCACGAACCGAGTTCTGATGTACCACTTTCAATGCAAAGTAAAGTAGTAAAACTGGATAATTCACAAAATAACAGAGTGAAACCAATAGGCAAGAAACATGCTCTTAATGATAATTTACTTCCCTTCATGAACATAATACTTTTATAGAGCATACCTTTGCTTCTTCCATCTGCATAATACTTGCTTGGCAGTCAGAAATACTGTCATTGATATAATCTATATTTGCTGTTAGAGATTCCATCTCTTCATTGATGTTGTGGATGTTTTTGTCAGCATCTGGACCACCTTCTTTTATCACTCTCTCCCTCCTTTTGCAAAGTTTCTCTTTCCTTTTGGTAAGTTCCTCACGTTGCTGTAATTCAAAGGTGTTTGTAAAACAGACTTAACAGTGCTTAATAGTGCTGAAAAAAGCAAGTAAACAAAGCTCTCTCTATATATGCACACACATACACATACTGCTAAGACACAGATAGAGATATGATATAGATATTGCATTCTTTGAATAAAAATAAGAAACATGTAACACATCTGAAAAAACAGCTACTATTTATAATATTAAGGCTTGTTCATACATGCATGTACATTATTTAATCATTGTAGGTGTTATGACTGCAAATCAAAATCTATCAATTGATTCCACTGGAGATACTATGAATATCCCAACAGTAGTGATTCATTTGTTGTATTACTACTGCTTTGGTTTCAGATTCCAGTTTACACTTGGGGTCCTTTCACACTACTATACAAATAGAGCACCATAATTCCATTGTATAGCAGCATCTTGTGGAATTTGAAAATGTGCAGTTTAGCGAGGAACACTTGAATTCTCAACCTGTGACCTCCTGTTACTGACAAAACTACAAATCCTGGAATGCAACCATGTGAGTGACAGTGGAATCATAGTGCATTAGTGGTACACATCCAAGTCAGGAATAACAGCAACATTATTTGCAACAATAGCATTCATATGATGTTTGTAGCATATTTTCGCCTTCTACGAACATCACAGTAATGCTATTGTTGCAAATAATGTTGCTGATGTCTGCCAACCAAACAAAGCAATCTACCTTAAGCAGTCTGTTCATATCAGTCTCCATGTTGGATATGGTCATTTTCTGCATAATAATCTCAGTTACTCTGCGTTCCAGCAATTGCCACTTCATTCTGGCTCCCTTGGAAGTGTAAACTCTTGTAGTCATTGCTTTTCTTTGATATTTATTCCTGTAGACAGTAGAAAGCTTAACATTTTTCAAATAAAACATTACAATTTTTGTTTTATGTTCTATATGAGTAATTTTTAAAAAGAGAACACGCTGAAATTTGAAAGAATGGGAGGAAATATTTATGTTTAGAAACAATCTTTTAGACCTGTACAGTATTATCACAAACAGCTCACAGTGTTTACTATAAAACAATACATTAATAGCTAAAAAATTTCTAATTTTAATCAGCATATAATTTTTTTGTCATGTCAGGAGCAACTTGAGAAACTGCAAGTCGCTTCTGGTGTGAGAGAATTGGCCGTCTGCAAGGACGTTGCCCAGGGGACACCCGGATGATTTGATGTTTTTATCATCCTTGTGGGAGGCTTCTCTCATGTCCCCGCTTGGGGAGCTGGAGCTGACAGAGGGAGCTCATCTGCCTCTCCCCAGATTCGAACCTGCGACCTGCCGGTCTTCAGTCCTGCCGGCACAGGGGTTTAACCCACTGCGCCACCAGGGGCTCTATATAACTATGGGAGGATGCACATTTGTGGAAACAGAAAACCTTCATATTGAAAAATTATGTCATACAACAGGGAAAGTCTGCTGAACTGGGCTGTGTAGGTTTCAAAATTAAAAATTCTCCCATGTCATTGTTTTTATAATACCTTTACTCAAATTATATACTTTAACTTATAAAGTACATGGTTATACCAGATACACACACTCATCTTTGTCATATGTAAACAGCACTTAAACATAGTGAGAGCTGAACATTTGGGATGCTACTATACAAAATTAGCATAACTTCCTGTGAAAGATTTTGTTGCTTTCTCTAATTAATTTCCGCATTTCTTCCAACCACCAAGCTTGCATGCCAGGCTCAACAAACCAGAAAGAAACATGGAAGGCCAGCCTTTACAGACCCAATTAGTACCAATGTTGGCTTTCTTAAGTGCCAAGTAGGATATGTCTATTATTTTTAAAGTGATATGTGCCAGCAGTCCCAAAATTATCTATGACTCATAGTTACAAATGACACAGCAGGAAGCAAGAGGAAATCTGCCCCTAGAAAGTGAAATTCACTTCTGTAAGAATCATCATAGGAAAAAGATGTCTCCACTGAAGCTTTATCACCAATGTCATGTTTTCACAACAACTTTGTTATATGTTGTGATGATGCTTTTGGACTACTTTTGTTGTTTTAAGTTTTACATTGTTTTAAATTAATCATTATCCTGATGATACAAAGATGTTGTTTTTGGAGGGGGGAGTTTGTTGTTTGGCACAGTATTACCTGGTTCCATTGGTTGTAGCTGCTGGCAATGCTTGAACCCTCGCTACAGGTATTTTCATCTTCTGTTGTGAGGCTCCTCTGGATCCCTCATTGTCTCCCGATGACACACCAGCACTTGGTTCTTGATTGGAGTGCTCAGGTAGGCTCAGTTTCCGACTTGCCCTCCCAGCCACCTTTTCAGACATAGGTCTTGCTTGTCGACGAAGAGCTGTAACCTAAAACAGTAATCAAATGTTGCCCTGCTATTGGGTGCTCTATCAAGATGCCTTATTTAGCTATCATATAGGAACATTTCATATCATGATATAAAGTTCAACAATTAAAATGGTCTGGTACCTCTTCTGTTTTGCGGCGCAGAATAACTTCTTGATTCCTTTTCTGGGTCTCCAAAAGTTTTAGCTGATGCTGTAAAGACAGAGCATCAATAGATTAGCTCTTTTTGGTTTCTTTGATTGCCGTTGCCTAGTTGTAGTTAGAAATACCTGGAATGGTTCATCCTATTTTATATTTATTTATTTCGCGCATTTCTACCCTGCCCTTCTCAACCCCCAAGGGGGGACTCAGGGTGGCTTACAAAAGGCACAATTCGATGTCAACACAACAATAAGATAAAACATATATAAACAGCAATTATAAACAATTAAAACAATTGTCCTAAACCAGACATTCTCTAAACCTTATTTAGCTATGCCTTTTATATATAGTCTTAGTTGTGGACAGAAGTGTATATGTGTGAATAGAGGACATAAAACTATTTTTAAACCATTTTAAAATAAGAAATAATTAAGACTTGACCATGGTGGTCCACGCTCTCATTACATCCAGTATAGACTACTGCAATGTGCTCTACATGGGGTTGCCTTTGAAGACCGTTTGGAAGCTTCAAGTAGTCCAACCAGAGACAACCAGGTTAATAACTTGGGCGGCATACAGGAAACACACAACTCCCATGTTACGTCAGTTCCACTGGCTGCCTGTTTGCTACCGGGCACAATTCAAAGTGCTGGCTTTGCCCTATAAAGCCCTAAACAGTCCTGGCCCAGTTTACCTGTCCGAATGCATCTGCCTTTACAAACCACTGGAAAACTAAGATCTTCTTGGGAGGCACTGCTCTCGGTCCCACCACCACCATAGTCGTGTTTGGCGAGGACGAGAGACAGGGCCTTCTCAGTGATTGCCCCCCGGTTATGGAACTCCCTTTCTGGCAATATTAGATCAGCCCCCTCCCTCCTGTCCTTCAGAAGGATGGTGAAGACCTGGCTATGGGACCAAGTCTTTGGGGCAGTGCAATGAGGCAATAATAGAATGGCATCCTGAGATAATTTTAAAGCAATTTTAAAGTGGATATAAGTGATTGTAATGTTTGTATATATTTATGGTTTTATGTCCCGGCATTGAATGTTTGTCATATATATGTTGTGCTCCGCCCTGAGTCCCTGGCAGGATGAGAAGGGCAGAATATAAATGTTTCAATTAAATAAATAAGTGAATTTCTACACAAAACTTACAAATTGAGCAAACAAAAATATGTGCCAGGTAAGGCCTAAATAAATTAGTATGTTTTGAAGCAGACTTTGATCCTTGTCATGGTTTCTGTTTCTCAACTCACAGGGGAAAGTGTTCCAAAAGTTGGATGCCACCTTCTCAAAATTAAGCAATAGCTTTCCATCTTGGCAAATTCAAGATGTATAGCAAGCATCAGGGAAAGTATAAGTATGAAGACGCTGAGGGCTTATGTGTTCAACAGGAGAGCAATGAATACAGTTCAGTAGCAGACACACAGTCTTTGTCCGTTTTCCCTCAGGAATCAATTTAAAAGCTACTCTGCAACATTTTGATATCTTGGTTCCATTCTGGTTTCAATTTCCAGAAAACACAATAATATAATCTACCATCGGAAAAAGAGAAACAATTGTTTCCAGGAAGAGAAAGTCTAGGTAAACATAATAGTTCTTTGCCTATGCTATTAATTACCTCTCGTTTTCGCTGCTCCTTCTTAAGTTGTGCAATTTCTCTGTTTCTTCGTGATTCATTCTTCCTTGCTTTCTCCTGTTCTTCTTTCATTTGCTTCATCAAGCGAACCTATATCACAGGTATTCAGCCTCTTAAAATTAAGTTTTATTCCTTTTCTTTACAAAACAAAAAAAACCCCACATACGCATGCATAATGTTTAGTTCATGCTACCTTTTTCCTAAAAAGTTGATATCATGCTAACACCCATATTATCTTGCCATAATAATATTCTTCTGTTTCTTTAATGTCTCAGAGCCAATAAACAGTTATGAACAGTCTCAGCTTCTTGAAGTATCCCTCCGCTGTAGAATCAATAGTTTGATGCCACTATGGAATCATGGGTGTTATATTTTTACAAGTATCAAAGATTTCTGGAGCCTTATTAAGGTACAAATCCCATTATTCGTCCCTTCTGAGCTCCCCCTCAGACACATACTTCTCCATTTACTTATCTCACCCAGGGTTTTATCAATCTTACTCTGTGCATTTGGCCCACCCACAGTGCTTTTATTTTATTTTTATCACGTTATTTTGCACCTGTTATTTCATTTTCTGTTATTTTATGCATTTTATTTTGATGTTATTATTTGGTGTTTGTATTTTATTTTATTTTGTTGTACTGTAATTCTGGGCTTGGCCTCATGTTAGTTACCCTGAGCCCCTTTGGGGAGATGATGGTGGCGTATAAATAAAGATTATTATTATTACAAATCCAAGCATTTAACAGCATTGAGCCATAGCAATTAAAGTGGTGTTAAACTGCATTAATTCTACAGTACAGATGCACCCTCAGACACAGTTTTCCTTCAAATAACTGTTTACTAGGGGGTGACTTATTGCAGTGAGTGAACCACCCCTTGGAAAACCAGAGTTGTCTTTACTGTCAGTCCTCATGGTTATAGTAAGAAACATTTGTACCCAATCAGACTGATAAGAAAGGAAGACAGCTGTCAAAACATTTTTTTCTTATCATGAGAGTGAAATGTTACGATTAATTGATTCCTCCATGCAAACACATCCCATACTTGATAAATGGCCAAGATGATTAATCAAGATTAATTTAACTTTTCAACTGGCTTCCTTTGCAGAAAAATACAGAATACCAATTACTTGACCATTTTTTCTAGATAAATAAATACCTTTGTTTTCTTCATTTCTGCAACATCTTGCTGCAGTTTTTTCAGTTGTTTTTCATATTGAGACTGGTTTTTCAGCAACCGTGCATGCTCCTTCTGAGCAGTCTGTAGCCTCTGAAGTTCTTTGTTCATGGACTGGAGCCTCTTCTCATATTCTGTTTTAATCTTTTTTGCCTTTTCTTCTGAGCAAGATTCTACTGATCCTAAATAATCATAGTGATTTTCTCAATCAATAATACAAATCGATGCTCAAAGCTTTATTTGCAATGCCAATAATTTTATCTGTACATCACCTTTCATAGCTTTGCTAGACCAAAGCTTCTTAAACTGTGAGTTGCAACTCTATTTGGAGTCATGTTAACTAAATGTGGAAGTCACAAAAAAATGTGTATCTTGCCACTTAATTCTTAGGAAAATCAGCCTGCCTTGTTTAGCAAGATTTACAAATGTTAATTTTACTTGAACTCTATCTTTTCAGTTTCAAAATAATTAGCCTTAAAAATTGTAACACTGAGAACTGGGAAGCCCTGGCCCTTGAGCGCTCTAACTGGAGGTCAGCTGTGACTAGCATTGCTGTGGAAAGGGAGAAACGTGCCGAGGAAGGCACATCAAGCCAACCCTAACCAGGACTACCTTCCACCTGGAAACCGATGCCCTCACTGTGGAAGAACATGCAGATCAAGAATAGAGCTCCACAGTTACCTACGTATCCACCACCAAGACACTACACTTGGAAGGCCATCATACTTGGACAACAAGAGATCATGTAAGTAAGTAAGTAAGTAAGTAAGTAAGTAACTTCTCCTTAAATTCTGATTCTAAAAAAAATCAATTTTTATTATTCATTATCATTTAATGAATGATTTTTATACCTAATTTATATGCCTATATACCCAGGTTTTTAAAAATATATTGGGCAAAAAGAAATCACAAGCATAAAAGTTTTAAAAAGTCCTGTCCTTGACAACCTAGTTCACCACTACAGAGGAGGAGGGAGTTACATCGGAATCAGTACAATTTACCCTAAAATGAAATAGACTGAGAAAAAATGTCAGGTGCTTCATAATTGGGCACATGTTTCGACCCAGTGCTACGTGTTATACTAATTGTCTTATTTTTATTAGAAGCTTTACCCCAGCAGATTGTTCTTAAAAACTCTCTGGGCTATTTACATTAAGGAATCAGAATATTATTCTTCTTACCCAGGTTTTGAAGCACCTGATCTCTTTCAAGCTGAGTGTCTCGAATTTTATGCTGTAACATTATGAGCTTCTCTTCATATTGTCTTTTCAAGGTCTGAAGTCTTCGTTGGCTATTTTCCAGTTCATCGATCAGCTTCTGCTTTATGGCAATTTCACATGTGATATTTGCTAAATCAGCTTGATAATGTGCTGTAATTGAAGGAAAAAATGTAAAAGGAATGGATACCAATCTGTTTCCACAATTCAAAGTGCTGGTTCAGGTCCAGGCTATGTGTCTGACTGCATCCCCTTGTACAAACCTGTCCAGGCCCTGAGACTTTCAGGGGAGGCTCTTCCCTCAGTCCCACCTCCATCTCAAGCATGATTGGTGGGAACAAGACACTGGGCCTTCTCTCTTGGTGGCTAAAACCTTTTTATTCAAACAGGATTTTAAAGAAGATGATTTTAAAGATCATGTTGGGAGCTGCTATGATTTTATATGCTTTTATGGATTTAACCTGATTTTTTAAATATTATTGACATTTCATATTGTTTTAATATTTGTATATTTTAAGTTATATTGTAATGCTTTTCATTGTGAACTGCTTTGAGTCTCCTTATAGAGAGAAAAAGCAGGATATAAACATAAACATAATCATCATCATCATCATCATCATCATTATTGCAGGCTGTGATACGCATCCTCCTATATAACCCGCCTCAAGCCACAAGTAGAGGTGGATAAGGAATCAAATTATTATTACTATTATTATTATCATTACTATTATTATGCCTAAAAATACATAAAACTAACTCCTATATAACTTCAGAAACTGTAAAATAAATATTTTTAGAAATTAACTATATACTGTATTCCCAATACAGCAATTTAGCATATTAGAACATCAGAAATCCGAAGTTTCATTTATGTTTAAAATAATCACTCCAAAGGCAGTTACACTAACACTTATTTCCAATATGATTTCATTCTAACTTCTATCCTTTAGCAGGAAAATCTGGTAGCATCCCTACCAATACCTGGTCTCCCTTGGCATCTACAATTGTATATTCTAGAATGGTTTCAGAGGTGATTACTAAGAACAACTTTCGATCTGGAATGTAATACTTCTAAATGTGCCTGTCAACGTTATGTTGTATATCATATAGAATGGTAAAGTTTTAGAACAAAATGTACATTTTTCAAGCTATAAATTAACATTTCTTGCACTAGTAATCTGAACAGCAACATTAAGTAAAGTATTGTTTTGCAAACAGTCTATGAGAAACCACATCTAATAAACATTAAAACTTCAGTTCTATGAAATAGATGCCCACATCTCCAAACTACTTCCCTCAAAAATGCCAATGTAAAGATTGTGCACTTTAAAAAAATCATTTTGTTACCTTTTTCATCAGAATCAGAATCTGATTCATCTGAGCTTTCAACCACTTCCATGTCATCTTCATCTTCATCTTCTTCATCCTCCTCATCTTCACGATCACTAACTTCCTGACATTCTTCCTAAAATAATAAAAAGAGAAAAGGAACTGTGCAAAGTCCTCAACAGATTCCTTAATTTAATTGGGGGATATAATTCTGACTTTGTTCATAAACAAACATTTCCTATTTTTATACTGAACCATTATACTCACTGCTTCAAGTTCATGATTTTCTCTTTCGGAAATGCCTTTTTCATCCCTCTTCTCCTGTTCATTGTCAGTGTTCTCCTCTTTGACAGTGCTATGAGAACAAATGCAATAAGAACATAAACTATTAGAAAAGGATTCATTCTCACTCACCAAAACTAACAGTCAGCCTATAGAACTGGCCACAAGCTGGTACTTTGTTGAAAACAGAAAGTATTTGAGAACATCACAATATTAAATGTTTTAGCTACTTGTAAAATTGAAAGTTTCAAAATCCAAAGGAAACCATAAAGAGCCCAAGGACGTTTCCCCGACCCAATGTATAAACCTGCATTACAGAAGCAAGCAGGGCAACATGGTAGGAGAGTGAGCAAAAGGTGATTGTGTTGCATAGCTTTTCCAGAAACACAAACCTGAATGGTTCTAGAAAAGAGCTAAGTGAGTCTGTACATCATGCCAGAGCAGCTTAAAGTTAAGATGGGTGTAAAGATAAGCCGGAATCAAAAAGCCACCTTTGGACAAACTCATAATAGCCTGGTACATGAAATACTCGTAGTTATGTACCACCATCAGAGAAGGTTCTATAAGAAGCAGGAAAAAAGACAGAGGGAACTATGAACCTTAAATAAACCATGTTTATTTAAGTTGTTATTTCTATAATTTTTGTTGAGTTTGTTTTTTTGACTTGTTATGTGTTTTTGACTTGTTATGTGATATGCAATGCGACTAGATCAATAGGTATCGCCTCGTTGGGAAGGTAAAAGGGCACCCCATGAAGACATGCAGACATGCTGGCAAAAGGATCAGAGATGTCTACGGACAGTAGGCTCCTTTGGCATGGAAAATGGAACAGTAGCACTTCCCCATGGCCAGAGCTGAGCATCGCCTCCAGGCGTCGGAGATGAAACAAGGAAAGGCTCTTGTTACATCTAGGATAGACTACTGCAATGCACTCTATGCGGAGTTGCCTTTGAAGACTGCTTGGAAGCTTCAAACAGTCCAACGAGAGGCAGCCAGGTTAATAACCGAGGCGGCATACAGGGACCATACAACTCCCATTTTACATCAGCTCCACTGGCTGCCAGTTTGCTACCGGGCACAATTCGAAGTGTTGGCTCTGGTCTATAAAGCCCTAAACGGCCCCGGCCCAAATTAACTGTCCGAACGCATCTCCCCCTATCTACCATCACAGAGATTAAGATCCTCTGGAGAGGTTGTGCTTTCCGTCCCACCATTGTAACAGGTGCGATTGGTGGGGGCAAGAGACAGGGCCTTCTCGGTGATTGCTCCCCGGCTATGGAACTCCCTTCCTGGTGAGATCAGGTTGGCCCCCTCCCTCCTGTTCTTTAGAAGGATGGTGAAAACTTGGCTGTGGGACCAAGCTTTCAGGACAGGGTAATGAAGCGGCAATAGGAAAGATGACTGGGACAACTGGATTTGACACGGATGACTAGGATGGTTTTGAATGGTGTATTTTAATATTTTGATAAATGTTTTTTAATATTTATGTATGTGTATGTGAATTTGTGTCCCGGCATTGTATGTTTGCTGTATATATGCTGTGCTCCTCCCTGAGTCCCCTTCGGGGTGAGAAGGGCATAATATAAATGTTTCAAATAAATAAATAAATAAATAAATAAATAAATAAATAAATGATGTTATTATTGTTGGCACTGAAGGTTTGCCACTATGTTTTATTTTGCTGGAAGCTGCCCTGAGTCCCTTAGGAGAGATGGGGTGTGCTATATATAAAGCATTTATTTATTTATTTATTTATTTACAGTTCTTATATTCCGCCCTTCTCACCCCGCAGGGGACTCAGGGCGGATTACAGTAAACACATATATGGCAAACATTCAATGCCAGTTTGACAAACAACGTTTAACAGACAAATACACCGAGGCTATTTAACTTTTTTTCTGGCCGCCAGGGGAGCTGCTGCTTTTCATCGTCCATCAACGACACCAATGAAGTTCTTCCGCATTCCACATTCCCCGGAGTCTTTTTTCTTTATGGCCTCATAAATTAGTTAAATTTAGCCTCCCACACAAGGTGGTGCCTTATTTTCCTACTTGACAGATGCAACTGTCTTTCGGGTTGCAAAGGTCGACAACGGGCTACACAATGGCTGGACACCCACTCCAGCCCGGGCTGGCTTCGAACTCATGACCTTTTGGTCAGAGTGATCTTAATGCAGCTGACACTCAGCCAGCTGCGCCACAATCCCGGTGCATTATTATTATTATTATTATTATTATTATTATTATTATTATTTAGTCACTTCCCCTCTACTTCCACTTTAGGGAAGAAAAACTGTGGGTTCCACAGAGAAAGAGCAAAACAAAATATTGAGGAAAGGAAGTTTAGCAGTTAAAGCAGCACATGAAATAAAAGCCTAAGTGTATTTAATCAATCTGACATTAAAGTGATTGGGCCCTATCTGATAGAGTCCAATCACTTTAAGATGTCTTGAATTACAGCTAATGCATGGACTTTTGAAGTTGGACCTGATACCTTCACAAACAGGGATAACAGTTGGGTTGCATATGCACTAATTAGGGAAAATATTATTGTTATATTGGGATAGTTATTTTAAACACAGATTGAACTAATAATTCCTATGTTTATTTTGGCTCATGCTAACGCTTTATGATGGACTGGACAAACACAAATGTAAAGTCAGTCTGATCTATCTTAGATCAGTGAAAAGCACAGCGGCAGAAATGAAAAACAATAATTGTAGGTGTTCTGCAAACCAAATGTAGAAATAACAATGCTCAGACAAAATACAACATTGCTATGAGCCCGTTGAAAGAGAAACAATATTTACAACATTTAACAAGCTGCTGTATTCCCCAGGCAAAGGAAAAACCTAAAAAGTAGCACTGCCTCACCAGCCAATCAATCTCAGAATAAGGACACTGACTAGGGTTCTTACAGCATGCACAAGGAAGCTCCTCCAAGCTATTTGTGGAAGACATATGGTGACAAGGCAGGTCATAACTAATAAGTATAGGTGAGAGAAACTCTGGGCAACCCACCACATCCAGGAGCAGATCCCACCGACAGTGCAGGCATGGCAGATCCCAGCATCCTCTCTCCCCTCTTATCAATTCAACCATGCAATATTATTGAGCTGGTGTAGTGTAATGGTTTGAGTGTTGGACTAGGAGAGACTATAGTTTGCATAATGTTGCTGGAAGAAACATTAACAACCTTAGTTATGCAGATGATACCACTTTGATGGCCGAAACGAGGAGCTGAGGAGCCTTCTAATCAATGTAAAAGAAGAAAGAGCAAAAGCTGGGTTGCAGTTAAACTTAAAAAAAAATTCTGGCAACCGGACTGATTGATAACTGGCAAATAGAGGAAGGAAACTTGTATTTCTAGATGCAAAGATTACTGCAGACGCAGACTGCAGCCAGGAAATCAGAAGACATTTATTTCTTGGGAGGAGAGCAATGACCAATCTCGATAAAATAGTGAAGAGTACAGACATCACACTGGCAACAAAGATCCGCATATTTAAAGCAATGGTTTTCCACGCAGTAACCTACAGATGTGAGAGCTGGATCATAAGGAAGGCCAAGTGAAGGAAGAAAGACGCTTTTGAACTATGTTGTTGGAGGAAAATTCTGTGATTGCCTTGGACCACAAGAAGATCCAACCAGTCCATACTTCAGGAAATAATGCCTGGGTGCTCATTGGATGGAAGGATATTAGAGGCAAAGATGAAGTACTTTGGCCACATAATGAGAAGACAGGAAAGTTTAGAGAAGATAATGATGCTGGGGAAAATGGAAGGAAAAAGAAAGAGGGGCCGACCAAGGGCAAGATGGATGGATGGCATCGTTGAAGTGACTGGATTGACCTTGAGGGAGCTGGGGGTGGTGACGGCCGACAGGAAGCTCTGGCGTGGACTGGTTCATGAGGTCACGAAGAGTCGGAACGAATAAACAACAACAATATAGTTTGCATTCCCACTCAGTCACAGAAGTTTGCCCAATGTACAAGACACACTAAGAGGAAGGCAATGGCAAAATCCTCTGAATGAATCTTGCAAAAAGCAATCCTTTGATAGGGTTGCCAAAAGTTGGTAACTAATAAGACCAACACAAAATGTTTTGGGGCAACTTCTTTGTGTTTCTCAGTGTCAAAGCCATTAAGACAATTTACTAGAACATGGTCAGAGAAACCATTAATACTGAATCTAAATAAATTAACAGATGACTGGTATCCCTATATTCCTCAGTCTCATGCCCTCCTGCTATCCTTCAACATTCTTCCATATACTGTACCCAGTGATCTTAGTCTGTTTCCTGATCAAGTTCAAAGACCTTATAATGGAGGTCCTCAATTAAGATATTTTCTGCAGTTCTTTGAATTTCAATTACTACATCTTGAAACACGAGTACTAAAACAGCAGTGTTCACTATTAGCCTTGAATTTATACTAAGTCACAGAAAGGAGACATAATTCAATGTTTAATGCAATCAGCCCTCCATATCCAGAGATTCTGCATCCACAGATTTAACCATCCACAATTTGAAATTATCCTTTCCACCTACCCACCCCAAATTCCAATGAGCAACATTTATCTCAACATTATTTATAATGGGACTTCATGGATTCTGGTATCCACAGGCAATCCTGAAACCAAGTTGATGCCAAAAGCCCATCTTACTCCACATGGCTTGTATAGCTCTCTTTATGGGTCAATTAAATCATGGAAACCTTCTCTTTCGCAGCCATGAAGACTCTTACTAAATACAAATCCAGTTAGTTGGCCAGTATATGATCATATATTTTATTATAAATTATCTGTTTTGAAAACAGCTATTCTGTCCAAAGAAAATCATCTAAATATATAAATCCAGCACTACAAAATGTCCATACAGTATAGCATTGAGCTAAACATGTCAATGATTGGGTGCCATTGTGTAATAGGCAATGCTCAACTACCATAAGCAATTCATAGTAAAGATAAAGGTTTGCCCTTGTCATTAAGTCAAGTTGTGTCCAACTCTGGGTGGTGATATTCATCTCCATTTCTAAGCCGAAGAGCCAGCATTGTCCGTTGACGCCTCCAAAGTCATGTGGCCAGCACGACCACATGCCGTTACCTTCCCACCTGAGTGGTACCTATTGATCTACTCACATTTACATGTTTTTGAGCTGTTAGGTTGGCAGAAGTTGGGACTAACAGTGGGAGCTCACCCTGCTCCCTGGGTTCAAACCGCTGACTTTTCAGGCAGCAAGTTCAGCAGCTCAGCAGTTTAACCCACTGCGCCACCGGGGGCTCTGTCATTTATAGTACTTAATTGCAATGTGCAATGTTGCTGGATAGACAATTTAACTGCCAGCAAAGTATGCCTGTTGTGCTCAGACACTCCACCTCCTCTCTGCAATCAAGGGACACACAACAACATGAATAATACCACACTCAATACACTATGATGAATAACTCAAAACACACGTGTAGCACAACTTATGCATGTGTATCTCACTGAAATAATGCCATCGAATGTCTCCTTTTTCAATTAACTTCCTGATTGTTTTGTACAGTTCTATGTGCTCAGTCACCAAAGTGACTATAATACAGCTTTTGGGACTTAGATTTGAGACATCTATCTCTGTGTTCAACTAAACCTTAATCATGTAATCACAATAGACTGATTCAGTGTACCCTCAATAATAGATGCTTACTTCCTGACATCACCAGCTTGTACAGCACAGGCATCACTATCCAAAATGAGTCCTATTCAGAAACATACTGCCATCAACAGAACACTTAATCACACTGAAGCTGTAGGATTAAGCTTCATTACATGGATTTTTGCATGTGCTAATTCTGGTTGTATAATCTTTGCATCCACCAAATATAAAACATAAAAGCTATCCAGTGTTGTCCCTCTTTTTCTAAAAAGTAAACTGACAAGAGAGAAATTCTACTGAAAAGGAATGTATGCCAAAGCGGAGAGCTATACATGTTGAATTTCTCCCTTCAATAAAATCACAAAAAACACAAATTCCCTCCTCTACAAAAAACAGTAACCCAAAATTGATCCCTGTTTCATTAGGAATTATATCAGTTTACACTGAATAATGTTACTAATATACAATATAGCACCTGTATTTTATAGATGTTCTTTCTTGCAATTCTAGTATATCGCAAAACTAATATGTACAAATACACAGGGTGGATGTAAACAAGAAGGTAAGAATTAAAAGTGCTCACATCCAAGGATAGCCATACATCCTATGAGTATTCTGGAAGAGTATGGGGAAAAAAAAACATTTTTCATGAATAGACTTTTGCCAGTGCTTTCTATATCTAATTCAATTCCTTTAGGTTATCATGTAGGAAACTTTGAACATACTTTAAAGTAGAACAGTTAAGGAGAGTTAAGCTCAAATTCATTCTCTGAATATAAACAGACTAAAAAATGGGCTAGTGAGAAAATGAAATATTAATACAACAGATCTACTACTCATATGGTTGTCTGTAGGTTAAATTCTAAAATCAGTAATTAGTGTAGCTCTAAAAGCTACACAGAAAATCAAATATAGTAAAAAAATCAAGTATTTCCACATGAGACCCTTTTCCAACCAACAAATTATTACATGACCCCAGATATACAGGTATATAAAATAGGTATAAAATCAAATATTATTGACAATTAATCAGCATTTGCAAGGCTTGTCAAGCAGGCTGATTTTACTTTTTGTGGAGTACAGCATTTTCTGCAGGGTCCACTGTAAACACTGCATATTGTTACTAACAGATTTATGTAAACGAGTGGCTTTCAGAAACCCTTTACTGTTGCCAAATTTTCTGTGACCCCCAACTGAGCGAAAGAGAGTCCATTTAGAGTTGGGACCCACAATTCAAGAAGCAGTGGTCAAAATTATTTGAACGGATACGGTTCATGCCTTAATCTCTTTATCGTTCTAAAGTGGGATCTACTTTACACACATTCCCCTTTAAACTGCTCTGGTAATTTTCAATCCCAGATTTATATGGCAAGATTTTGTTTGGTGTAATGTGTTTCATCTTGATTGACATGTGTAACAACTGAGAGGAATTAGTCTTGGAAAAAACTCTTGGGCTATATATATGTAGGATAGTTTGTTTTTACATGGGGACAGATTTTTGTTTGTTGTTGTTATAATGATAATTTAATTAAAAACCTGGGAAACATTCCAACCTTCTTTCTTCTTGACTGCTTTCCTCAAGTTTCTGCAGCCTTCAAAAGCACGAGGCACAGTATTGGAAGGCCAAGCCAATGAAGAATAAACCAGACAGTGAAAAGCAAGGGCAACAAGAAAGCAAAACAAAAAAAAAGATGACATATGAGCTTGAGGATTTCAAATTCTTTTTTAAAAAGAGACACCATCAAAAGACACAAATATCAAAAAGAAAAGGAAAGGAAAACAATGCATTCTTCAGAGTTGGAAAGTCATTAGACAACAAAGAGATGCTACATACTGGGAAGATGTTCTATGCGGATCCCACTGAAATAAGTGGTAACTATGAAGAAAACCTTCCCAATGCTTTTGTCTCTCCTACGGAGAAACAAATCTGTCAGTGCTGGTTTATTATTTTCCCAGTTAGTTTCATTTCATTGCTGAAGCAGTTAGTGCGCTTTGTTAGCATCTGCACAAAAATCCGTATTCTTTTAATATGCATTTTTGCAAGCAATTTTTCTAATATAAGATTGTCTTGGTATGTCATTTCTACTAATGTATATCCCATTTTCTCCATGCCTGTGTATTTCGTATTCAATTTCAAATCAAAGAACCATCATAACATCTGGAGACAGTTTATCCCACACTTCTAGTCTCCCTAGCCATCTACTTTCAAAATGAGGGAGCCACATGGTGACCATTTGGTTTTACTAGAATAATACTTTAGCTGGATTAATTCTCTGTAAATCCAGGGTTCTTTGAAAATAACACTAAACCATGGTTGAAAATAGAAGAACGAGCCTAGCTTCCACCCAGGCTTACAGACTCCAATCACTTCCCTTAACCCAGTCACAAATAGTATGGAAACTTCCATTTTTATTAACAACAGCTGGTCATGTCATCTGAAGCCAGACAAAATGCAGTCTATATAACTATGTATATGTCTACAGATTCTGGTCAAAAAATCCATCCAAAAACCATCTACAGGTTGATGTAAGTACTGTACTTAACATGTACCACAAAAGAAAACATCCTTTTCTCTGAGTAGAGTAATGAAAGGCAGGAGCTTCATTTATCTGAGGAGAACCTAAAAGAAGAACTGATCCCCTCTAGTCTCTCTGCCATAGTACCATCTCCGGCCCTTTAAAATATGAAGGCAGGAAAATGGTAGTGACAACCAGGGATGGCTGGCTCCCTGAGGTGGCATTAGTGCTTTCCGTCTCTGCAATGACCTTTGACTTATCGGTAGGTCATTTTAAAATCCAGGATGTTGCCCCACAAACCTGCCTGCAATATATATGTAAGTATCTATGGTAACTTTAACTATAGTTAGTGAAAACAAGAATTTCAACATGATCAAAGGAAAATAAATACATTATAATTAATGGATGAGCCCTCCCCCCCTTTTTTGTCATGTCAGGAGCAACTTGAGAAACTGCAAGTAACTTCTAGCGTGAGAGAATTGGCCATCTGCAAGGATGTTGCCCAGGGGACGCCCGGATGAATTGATGTTTTTATCATCCTTATGGGAGGCTTCTTTCATGTCCTCGCATGAGGAGCTGGAGCTGATAGAGGGAGCTAATTTTTACTAATCTCACGTAAATCTAGCCAGAAGTTATGGTTCATATAAACCACCCTATCTCCTCCCCTCTAAAGCCTCATGCCATGATGAAACTAAGAAGGTATGGCTAGGTGATGTCAAAACTATTCCAAACTCTTTGAAAGAAGAGTGAAGAATACATGTGATAAAATAGATAGCGTAAAGAAGAATGGTTGTTACTTTCAAGAAATGTTACTTCTTCCTCCTAGAAGTAGTGCTTAGTTAAATTACAGTTTATATTATTTCTTAGGTTTAAGAATTTTAAGCAATATTAGGATGATGCACAGTACTTTTTATCCACAGTTGTAGAATACAAATTAATTTCTTGTGATACCTCTTACTTAAAAACCCACCATATCTACTCCTGTAAAAGTTGAAGACAGATTTGAGGATGAAAATTATTTATTTTGATACGTGACTAAATTTGGGGTCATCCTATGGAGAGAGGAAATTACCAACACTCCTTCAAGGGGCAACTCGCTCTTACCATTTTCCCCCACTCAGGCAATCAAAGGCCATGATACCACACAAAGAGAATAGAAAGTGTTGGTTCTCCCGAGATGGACTACGTTCTTACCCTTCACCGCTCTACACATAGAAAGCGATCATTCCCTTTTTCTAAGAGTTAAGATATCACAGTACTCACACTGACCCATGGATAACTTAATCCAAGTTTTGGAAGGTTTTTTTGACTAAAATTTCTAGATTTATACACAAGTATATAAAGTTTTTTTTATTTTGAAAAAATGTAAAAGTGTTAAAATTTCAACAAATATTTTTAAATGACCTTATACTTAAATATGAAAACCTGAAATATTTATTTTTTCATGACAAACAAACTGTAGAATCCAATACGTGTCAATTACTGCTTGTTAGAAAGAAAAATAAACCTCTGTTATCAGAGCAATGAAAATAATGTAGCATCCATGTCTTAATTTTTAATGAGATGCAGAGACAAATATGAATATTTTTAAGTGACGTTTATGACTGGTGGAATTATTTTAACATGACACTGAAACTGGGAACAAAAAGAAATGGAGAATTTAATGAAAAATATAGTCGTCATAGGCAAAATGTGGTCATCATAGGCAAAAAATGCAAAATTAATGTGTAATAATTACATTTAGCTTAGGGGTAGCTATTTTAGAAGTATATTGGGGAGCCAAAAAAAAAACCCTCAGTGAATTGATATCACTATTTCTCAGCTCCTTTTTAATTTGATGCTTAACATATTCAGCATATTATCAACTCAACTGCAGTCTCTCACTCTCTCACACACACACACCACCCAATACACACAGACACATGTTACACTTCACAGAAGAACGGTCAATTTGGGGATGGAATTAAAATAACCCACCTTCACCTCATAGTCTATTCTAAGGTAACTACATTTGAGAGAAATCTAACTTGACTGAAAGACTATATAAACTGAGATGTGCTTACAAAGCAAATGAGTCAGTCCAAAAGAGCAGCAGGGAAACACTCAAACTATTACTTTATACTAGTTATTACTTCAAAACAGGAGTTTAAAGTGACAGGTAAGGTCAAACCTTTGTTTGGTTGGGCCTTTTCTTTTACATCCAACATGCCTATAACTGTATTTCCATGCACTTGACTTTATATAAAAACAAAGAGAGACCAGGAGAAAGTCTGATCACTAAAATACTCAGGAAGACAAAGACAGCAAATATCACATAAGATACATGCTTGCTTTAGCCATATATGAATGAGCTTGAATTTGTAACAGATAGATTCTATACTTATTATTAAAAGGTGAAAATACAATAATCTTTGGTATCTGAGAGGAAAGCAAGGACTACAGTCTAAAAGAGAGGGCACTACATGCAACTTATGATCCTTGTTTTATTATCAACAGCACAAAATAAAATAATGTATGTTAAAGTTAGTACAGATTGCAGGGATTAGAAACTAAACAAAAAGGGATGTGTGCAGTGACAGAAAGACAGAAAAAGAAGGCAAGCACAAATTGAGTATGAAGAGAGCAAATAAGCAGATATAAGAACCACTAAAGGAAATTGCCAGTTATTATTTTCCAAATAAGAACATGCATGTGAATCAGCACATTACTTGACTGACAGCATAATGGGCCACAAGGTGAACCACTTGGTTAAGTATCTGCAGTATTTCTGCTACAGTAATACTGTACAAGCAAAGCACACAAGACACATAACAGGTCTTTTTCACCCTATAAACTTTTTTTTTTTAAAGGGAATTTTTCTAGCAAATTGTGGAGTTTTAAATGGTACCTCTTTTTCTTCTTCTTTTCTTTTTTCTTCAGTTTTTCTAAGTCTTTTTTAGCTAGATCAAGAATTTCTATTGTTTCTTTATCAGAGGGAAGCATTGAAGCAGAAAATGCTGAAGGGCCACCAAAATATGTTGATCTTGTGGAAGCTCTCGACAAGTTGCGCCGAAGATTTTCATTTACAGCTTCACTTTCCAGTAGTTTTGCCCTAAACACAAGCATAAAAAATGTTGAGGAAAAAGTGGAGAAGATATTAGCTACTGGTTTGATGAATTCCCACTCTTGGCTACTTGTATGAAACACTCATGGGGAGGCTGGAAGATTTCACTGACCTTTTCTAACAATAACAACACCAACAACACCAACAACACCAACAACAACAACTATATCTAGCATTATGCCCAAGCCCAAACAAATTATTTAATCTCAACCACAGTTTCCTTGGAACAGATCAACTCCCAAAATTAACTTTTTCCAGTAAGTCATTTTTAAGTGTAATTACAGCTTGTCCAGATTCAGAAATAATGCTATAAGACAGTTAAACCTCCATGAATGTGTTCACATGTGCATACAAAATGTGTGTCTGCTTGTTTGTTCATACACAGAAAGATATACATAGAGAAACAAAGGGAGAAGCAAGGCCTTGCCAAATGGAACTATAAAAAGACACTGTCTTTAAATTACCTACACTGGTTTAACTATGTTTATATTTACATTTTGAAAAAATGAGCCAAAATTATGACAGACAGCAAATAATACCTGAGATCTTCAATTTCCTTGATGTAGTTATGGATCATGTTACTGATTTCTTCATTACCTTCCCCTTTAAAAAGAAGGGAATAAAATCAGGTCTGTTTATTACAGGTTATACAGAAGATGCATGCAATCAATATTAAATAAAATATTTAAATAAATTAGTTTTAAAACTGATGTTTTCTGAGGAAATGTGGGGGGGGGGGGTGAGAAAGGAAAAGAGAGAAAGCATATGTACACAAACATCTGCATGCATGCTGTCCCACCACCCAGGCCTGACTGAAAGGTACCATAAGGATTGAGCCAAAGTGGTTGATACAGTAGTGGTTGTAAAACAATGCAGGAGATGTGTCATAAGAATCAGAATGGAAAATACACATCCAGACACTAGCAAAGGTTATGCACATTTTATTTATTTATTGAATTTATCGTCTGCCATTCTCCCAAAAAAGCAGCTGTGTAATATTTAATATCACAAGAGGGCACATTAAATGCCAAAAACACAACAGAAGTTTGACAAAAAAAAGGTTTACTGGCTTACTGAAAATATACACAACTGTTTGCAGGATGCATGGAAAAAAGTTCTATCTTACCCAAATGCTTCACATAACCAGTGTTTCTCAAACTGTGCTCCTCCGGATGTTTTGGACTTCAACTGCCAGATATCCCAGCCAGTTTATCAGCAGTTAGGAATTGTGGGAGCTGAAGTCCAAAACATCTGGAGGTTTGAGAAACACTGACATACAGTATATTCTGGCGTATAAGACTACTTTTTAACCCAAGAAAATCTTCGCAAAAGTCAGGGGTCGTCTTATACGCAGGTGTAGTCTTATGCATGGGAGTCGTCTTAACTCTATATTTTAACTGGAAAAGTTGGGGGTCGTCTTATACGCCCAGTCGTCTTATATGCCGGAATATACGGTAATCTATTCAGTTTTGATGTGTGGGGTGCCCTCCCATTTGTGAAATCAAAGGCAGAATTATCAATCATTAAATGACCCACATAACTTGCCACTTAAAAAAACAAAATATGGGCACTGACATGTTGAGATTTTGTATCTGAACTACTCTGTTTATCATAGCATGCTATTGTAATAGATGTAGATTTGTATTAATCCCAATTGATAAATGTTTAGTATTACTGATTCCAATTTTTAAGCAATGCTCAAATATTTATCTTGATTTCAGATGAGACTTCTGCAGTTCTCTTGGCTGAGATCATAATAGCAATTTATGTCCTTCTTCTCATCTTATAACTGTATAATTTGCTAGTGTCTATCAGCCTTGTCTAGAAATTTTCAGACTCTTGTCCAGCTAAACTGTGGCGTATTCATGTCTATATGACTGTACTTGGCCTATTCCATATGCTTCCTGGTTCTATTTAATCACTAATCAAGAGCTAAATTGATACATGAAACTTTATTATCGTACTGCCTCTAGAACTTGCTTTCAAATCTGTTTCTTAAGACATTGTACGTTCCAAAAACAATGAAGTCTGATTAAAAATTTATAGAAATTTGGGATTAAGGGCCTCCTGGGGCAAAGTGGATTAAAGTGCTGAGCTGCTGAGCTTGTTGACCGGAAGGTCGCAGGTTCAAATCCGGGGAGCGGCGTGAGCTTCCACTGTCAGCCCCTGCTTCTGCAAACCTAGCAGTTTGAATACATGCAAATGTGAGTAGATCAATAGCCACTGCTCTGGTGGGAAGGTAACGGCACTCCATGCAGCCATGCCAACCACATGACCTTGGAGGTGTCTATGGACAACGCCAGCTCTTCAGCTTAGAAATGGAGATGAGCACCACACCCCAGAGTCAGATATGACTGGACATAATGTCAGGGGAAAACCTTTACCTGGGATTAAGAGTAGAGGTAAAGGTTTCCCATTACATTAAGTCTAGTCATGTCCGACTCTGGGGGGTAGTGCTCATCTCAATTTCTAAGCTGAAGAGCTGGCATTGTCCATAGACACCTCCTAGGTCATGTGGCTGGCATGACTGTATGGAGCACTGTTACCTTTCCACTAAGGTGGTACCTATTGAACTACTAACATTTGCATGTTTTCGAACTGCTAGGTTGGCAGAAGCAAGCGCTCACCTCACTTCCTGGATTAGAACCGCCAACCTTTCAGTCAGCAAGTTCAGCAGCGCAGCGGTTTAACGTGCTGCGCAACCAGGGAGCCCTTAAAATTAGGATTATTTACTGCTACTTTAAAGTAACAAGTATACCAGCTTTTAAAGAGGGGTCATGGAAATACTGCATTACTCTCAGTTTTTCATTAAATTCATAAATTGACAACCAGTGTGCCTATTTTGGGCAGCATTTATGCTGAACTACATGTAATGATACTCAAGAAATTAGAAAATGAGTAAATAAAGATTTTCAAAAGGAGCAAATAGATGTAGGAACCTAATCCTGAATCATGAACTATTAGAGTGACAGAACTGCAGGAGGCTTTGATATTTTGTCCCTGAGGGCCAAATCATTTATATGGATGTACACAGTTGTTTTCTTTCCACTGCAAAGGGGAAGAAGTTCTACATTCCGCTGGCACTGGATTAAGAGATACGCTAGGCAGTGGTTCGCAACCTGTGGTTCCCCAGAAGTTTTGGCCTTCAACTCCCAGAAATCCTAACAGCTGGTAAACTGGCTGGAATTTCTAGGCCAAAACACCTGGGGTCCACAGGTTGAGAGCCACTGTGCTAGTGGATACAGAAGCATCTCATTGGATCTCCTACTATTGATTCAAGGAATGCAATTTGCTTAGTAACACAAAGTATGTTCGAACTTGGTTCTTCCTTCTTATATCTTTCTATATAGGTAAAAGTAAAGGTTTTCCCCTGACATGAAGTCCAGTTGTGTCCGACTCTGGGGTGTGGTGCTCATCTCCATTTCTAAGGCGAAGAGCCGGCATTGTCCGTAGACACCTCCAAGGTCATGTGGCTGGCATGACTGCATGGAGCGCCATTACCTTCCTGCCGCAGTAGTACCTATTGATCTACTCACATTTGCATGTTTTCGAACTGCTAGGTTGGCAGAAGCTGGGGCTGACAGCGGAAGCTCACGCCGCTTCCTGGATTCGAACCTGTGACCTTTCGGTCAACAAGCTCAGCAGCTCAGCACTTTAACCCACTGTGCCACTGGGGGCTCCATCTTTCTATATACTTATTTATATTCCAGACCAATCCCCATAGATTTTAATTCACACAATCCTTCTTTGAAAGAACAGAATACATTACCTGCTCTGGCAAGGACCTGATTGGCCTGATCGCTCACAAGCTGTGTGATTCGGGCTCTGAGTGCATCGATCGTCTCTTGCATGGCCTTTATCCTGACTCGCAGGTTGTTATTTTCTGTTTGTAGCATGGCATTTTCATGAAACATGTCATTAATACTTTCAACACCTTCTTCATCTATAATCCTTTTACCCTATGAGAAGATAAATACAATTATTTTCTAACTTACCAAAGACAACAATTGTTAAAACTGAAATCTAGGAGGTTTGTCAATTTAGTATTTCACTGGGCTCAAAAAGGAAAATTAAAATTAAAAGCACACAACAACAATCCTATCTCATCAGCCAAAAGCAGGCCCACACTTCCTATTTAAATACTAATAAAATTATATTTGTTAAAATTGTTGTTCGTTTTAATTATTGTATTGTTTTAAAGTGGTTTTTGCACTACAAATAAGGTATGTGCAGTGTGCATAGGAATTCATTCATTTTTTTTTTCAAATTATAATCCAGCCCTCCAACAGTTTGAGGGACTGTGACCTGGCCCTCTGTTTAAAAAGTTTGAAGACTCCTGGCTTATATCATAGGTCTTTCACATACAAGGCAATTAAATAAGTACATGAAAACCAGATTATCAAATACAATATAAAATGTTAAATTAAGCTACTTGCAATAACTTAAACAAGTACTGTCATCAACAATGAAAACTCAAAAAAGCAAAGACTCATCCAAGTAGACAAATACAAAAATATATACAAACATGATTAAATTTTACCGTTTTGTACTCCATTAGTTCCATCTGCAGCCGAGTGATCTCACTCCGCAGTGCATTAATTTGCTGGCTAGCTCTGTCCTGATTGACCATCACTTTGTTCTTGATATTTCGTGCCCGATTTGCATACTTTAGAGTGTTCAGTGTTTCCATGAAATCTCTGTCTGAAGGGCTTACGCATGCTATCATGACTGTTTGGCTGCAAAAGGAACCAACATAATTCAGTTTTATTACTCAATGTAAACTCTCAAATCAAGTGAGAAAGGTACTATGTTTTTTTAAAAGAGTAAATTACAATCATTTATGCAGAATAAGAAACATCATTTCTCAAGTTATTCAGCATTCAGAAGTGAATTATGACACAATTATTTGTTTCTCCAATGAGATATTTAAAAACTAGCTATTTTAATCTAGCTACAGAAAGATCTATAGAAGTTTTAAATTTTTGTTATCTTAATATACTTTAATCTCAGCAATAGCAAGTTAATAAAAGTTTTTTTAATCATTCCTTTTTTCAAACACAGTTTCATACAATGTTGAGTTCTTGCCCATACCTGTTTCCTCCAAGAGAGTCTTGCAATAGTCGAGTTAACTTTGAATCTCTATATGGTACATGGGTAACCTTCTTACTCTTATCTCCCAGTGCGCTTATTACATTTCCCAGTGCCAACTAGAGAATTTACAAAAAGAGATTTAAATTAAAAATCAAACAGGTATACGCAGGCACTGACAGAATCAGGAATGTTATTGTCAAGCATTTGATACATTAGACAGGTTGTGTGAGGCAATATGCTTAGAAGAATTGCACGATGCTTTTTTCCAATGCAGTACTTCTCATTGCCAAGAAGTCAAGTCATTGTTTCATTTCAGAAATGGTTTGCTTACTAGATGAGTCAGTAGACCATCAAATCTTCAACTGTGCACACTGTTCTCAACTGCAAGTACATGATTCTTTTGTAGACCCTAACAAGGCTGTCATACACATTTGTATTTTCCATATTAAGGTTTGATTTGTAAAAAAAACTCAGTTGCAAAACAACTTCATATTATATCATCATGGTTCTAATTCAATATACTGCAGGCCAGTAAGTTTCAAATCAGCCTCTATTAAATAGATGAAGTGTTGGTACCAGTAGGAAACTGCACACATTTAGAGGCATTATAATGGAGTGGATAGCTGAAAAAAATACAGTATTATGTAAAGCTTAAATATTTCATAAGATGAAAGTACAGTGCCTGCTGACAGGAATGTTAATCATCTTTGCTTTGCTATGTTAACTGGTATCTTCAGATGCAATATGAACAGCAATTAACTAAGCTTAGGGACTCAGTGGCAACCTGTAAGACTGTGTGAATTCTGTATCTCTATCCCCGCCCTTACAATATTCTTAAACATAGTTTAACTTCTTAATATGTAACCACAGTAAGTTCCTCACAGCTTGTGAATTTAGTTAATTTGAAACAGGAATTTGAAAATTCTTTGCCAATTTTAGTTAGAGAGTAAACTGCCATCTGCATAATCTAGCATCAACTGCTATAATCAGAATTGCAAATATATTAGTTTTTCCCTAAATATTTAGTAGTAGTTCATGTCCAAGAAAGCTCTAAAATCTTTTTGCTGGTCCTTCTATTGCAATCATTAGTCAGCCTTACCACAAACTATGGAGATGCTTTTGTGTATGTCCTATCATAGGGCGCAAAATACATCACACCAGGAGCTCATCTATACTGACCACTTAAATCAGTTTCCAAGTGGATCAGCCCCCTGTGGCTGAATCCTGCATGGAACTGCATGGAACCGCCTTAATGCAGACCTTCCCCGGGTTAAACAAAGTCGAAGGAAAGCTCGAATCCTTGGCTTAAAGCTGTCAAGACAGCTGAGCTGTTGCCTAATGAACTGACCACAGCTGTCTTGACTGCCATCCCACATCCCTGGGATCAGGATGCCAGATTGGACCCACGTTAGCAGCTAGTGCATCATTTGAAAGCTCACTAGCTTCTTTATCAGGCAAAGATACCAAAAAGTCATATAGAAGAAGAAAAGTGATACGGTTAGGGTCATAGGCCTGAATCTTGTTCAGGACAGTGATAGGGTATCAAGGGAAAGATTATGTAGATAGAGACTTCACCCCTTCTTGGCCATAAGGGACTGAGAACAAAGGCAGCAAAAGAAATGTAACTTTCTGCTTCAAAGAGCTTACTAATTAACTGGGTTAACTGGCAAGGTAGAAGGAAAAACCTACTAGTCCACAGTTGATAGAAATGCCTTCTTTTGCTCTCTCTCCGGTGGCTCCTGTACGCTTTAACCGCTCAGACCCGGCCAGATCCACAAAATGAAACTTAGCCGTAAGCGTTTCAAATTCATTCAGCTCTGATGACTCTGATATTATTCTATTATCTGTCACATTGTCCTGAAAAGAAAAAAGTAAAATCTTTTTTAAAAAAAAATAGTCGTGTGTATTTAGAAATGCAGTAAATGGACTCTGTAGCATACTAACTGCAGGTGACCACACATGAGACAATTACTTTTGTAACAGGTAATTCTCACATTTTTGCCTTATACATTATTTCTTAATGGCTTCTTGAACAGTTTTTTTCTCCTTTGTTGGAAAGAAAGGCCTTTCAAAGGAACTTGGACTGTTAAAATATCTTTAAAGACATTTATATTTGGATCAAAGGGATACAAATAAGAAGTCTTTGTATGATTCCAAGCCAAAAGAGGAGGTGAAAGGAAAATTGAGGAAAAAAATAAATTACATCCAGAAAGGTATTGACTATGTACTACAACAGCACAGCTTTCTGCACAGACCCAATTATATAACCTTCATCCATATTCAGACAGTGAAGTGGTGATCTTTCAAGAACCTCAAGTTTCCTTGTGCAGCTGCTATGGCATCATTTTTGTTGTAACCAGATGACTATACAGTACTCTTTTAAGGAAGAGTAAGCCAGTGTTTTGATTATTTTAACAGTTTCTAAGCATTTACATTATTTTGAATAGCTTGCAGGTTTAATTCTAATATTTATATGTTGTAGACTATAAATTGGTTTTTTTTCCTTAATGTAGTGAGCTGCTCTGAGTCGCAATCAAGGGGGGCTGAGGTCCCTCCTCCTCCTTCCTTGGTAAGATGGTTTAAAAAACAAACAAACAAACAAACAAACTGTTAAATGCAAAGTGTCATCAAATTTAAGATGCACCCTGTTTTTGGAGCCCCTATAATACATACATACATACATACAAAATCCAGCATATAGATCTCGTTTGCTGTGACATACTATGCTTTTGCGTTAATAATAATAATAACAACAACAACAACAACACACTTTATTTACAATTCTGCCCTTCTCCCCTAGGAACTCAGAGTGGATTACAGCATTTACATCAGACATAGGCAAACATTCAATGCCTTACAGTCACATATAATGAGACACACAAACACTGGCAAGGCAAAGGCTTCTCTTTTTTTTATTTCCGGCTTCTGGAGACCGTGCTCAGCTCTGGCTCTGGGGAGATGTTCTTCTCCATTTTCAAGCCAAGGAGCCTGCATTGTTATCTCCTAGTCATGTGGTCAGCAAGACTACTTGGAGCATCTTTTGCCTTTTCCCACCGAAGCAGTACTTATTTATCTACTCACATTTGCATGTTTTTGAACTGCTAGGTTGACAGGAGCTATGGGTAATATCCCACAGATTTGAGCTGACGACCTTTAGGTCAGCAGTTTAGCAGCACAAGGGTTTAACCCATTGTACCAACACAGGCCCATTGGGAGGGAAAGTGTGCCTTAGATTTGGTAAAATATAGTAGTAGTATAATTATAATAAATAAAGGGAACATTTTATGCTGGTAGCCTGGTTATACTCTTGATTGGGTAATTTCACAATTATTAGATTTCTCAGCCATCACATGAAAACTATAAGAATGTGTTTATCTCAGCAGTAATCAAAAATTTAAGTGGTACATAAATAATACTCCACTGCACTCCCTTGTGGGTAAAAGAAAAATAGTGGTAAAATAAAAGATCTCCCCTGAACTTCTAAGACAAGCCAGCAATACAGACTAGAAATGAATGCACCAAAAAACAGAATAGACCAAACCATGTTAAGCATATCTCATGGGAAGCCAAGCTTGTCAGACCTCAGGGTGGGAACACACAACTTCTGGGATGTTCCAGAGCTGTAGTTCCCATCAATTCTATATAACGGTGAGGGAGTTGTAGACATTTGGAGGGCTGCAGGATTTCCATCCCTGTCTTTAAAAACTTTAAGCTTTCTTTAAAAACCTGATGCCCTGGGATGAACAGAATCTGTACGTGTTTCAGCTGTCATTAGAGAAAAAAAATGTGGAATACGTATTCATGTACATTTCAGAAGAAGGTGACCAAAATGCCATTTGATTTGATTTGAATTATGTGTATCAACAGAAATTAATTCTAAATGGGAAAATACTTACACAACAGCTATCATGGAAAATAAAGACATACAAATTATCTGTTGAGCACACAGTTTTCACAATTGAAACACATATACTGCCAGAGGCTAATGAACATTTCATGATAATAATTAACTAAGTACAATGCAAGTCAGAAGCCTTCCACTCCCATGACTGTCCTAATTTGTTCTCCAATGGATTTTTAAAATTTTTAAATCCATTTAAACCAAAGTTAATGTCTCAGACATATAATTACATCCAAGGAAAAGAAATTGATAAATTTCAAATCAATCAAATGGCATTTTAAAAGCAACCCAAACATGCAGCTTATGAATAGGATGGTGTGGTTTGTCTTCATGTTTTAACCCCTTAAGAGCAAGGCTTCCTTCCTCTGTCATTACCTGTATTAAGAATTGGCCATACAATGAGAACATTAAATTAAAATTAAGTTTATGAGGAAGAGGAACATGAGGAAGAACTTCCTGACTGTGAGAGCCGTTCAGCAGTGGAACTCTCTGCCCTGGAGTGTGGTGGAGGCTCCTTCTTTGGAAGCTTTTAAACAGAGGCTGGATGGCCATCTGTCAGAGATGCTTTGAATGCAATATTCCTGCTTCTTGGCAGGGGGTTGGACTGGATGGCCCATGAGGTCTCTTCCAACTCTTTGATTCTATGATTCTATGATTCTAAGTAGGCCCTCTTTTATTAATTTTGGACTAGTTGTTCTTCCAAGTATAATACAGTCTTACTTGCCATAGTATTACTTGCTTTCCTAGCAGAGATAAAAGTAAGGGCAACTTTTTCTCTCTCTTTGATTGGATCTACATGATTAACTTTTTCTCTCTCTTTGGTTGGATCTACAAACAAAGGTATCTTTAAAGTAAGGTATCTTTAAAGGCTATTTGAGTATATGAGTATTCACATGTATGCTGGGAACAAAACAAAAAAAAAGGCCACAGTCACTGTGGACATTTGACTGGGCATAATCCGATCTGGGTGACACATAAATACCATTAGTTTGAATTAAAATCAGTGTGTGTGGAAGTAAAGAGGTCAAACCAAGAGTGGAGCTAGGATAAAGCTCTCATGAACACACCATTTTATACCCAACATTAATTTCCCTAACTAAACAAGTCCTAACCACAATACTTGGAGATGTATTAGTCAAACAGTATTTTGTCACCAGACCTATACTGAAAGACAGTTGAATACTTTAACAACTCTGACAAGTTTATTATTATTTGAGTAGGACAATTTTTAAATTGATTTTCTTTATGAGCATATACAAATATAATAATAATGACAATAATAATGATATCAAAATATTGTCCCTTTCCTTCCCACCCTAGGATGCAAGGCAGATTACAAAAATGATAATGGATACAAACAGATTAAAACAGATACATCACAAAAACATCCTAGGGATCCATTAAAAAAACGAACAAGCAAAAGAAAATCAGCTTCACTGCAGGCAGAAGAACAAGAAATGAAGCAGTTTATTTTCCCCATGAAGTTAATTCGGAAGCAGACTCTCCCTTATTCCCACCAGATGTTCTTATGTTGCAATTATACTATTTTAATTTTAATACTACATTTAAAGTGTATGTTTGATAATTGTTTAGTTCTATCTGAATGTTAATCCTTTGGATATTTCAATTACACTGTACTAATTTAAAATTGTAAGTTGCTTTGAGCTTTACCTCTAGGAAGGAAAAGTCAGGGTATAAAAGTTATGATATTTGTGGCGTAAGTTGACAGACAACTTGAAAATAAACTCACAAACTAATTAACTTCATGATAATAATGCCTCTGAAAGTGATGGGAAGGAAGCTTTCAGAGCTCGAACTCCAGACATATTCATATGGGAAAAATCAGCCCTGCAGATACCCTAGACCCAAACTGTAAAATAAAAGCAAATTTGGTAGCCCCAGTATGAATGCCATACTTAGTTTTCTGAGATAACTTTTTCTGGACCAGCAGTCCCAGATTCTCCTGGTGACAGTCATTCTGGACTCTGAAGTTATGTTGTTTTACACATTGCAGAGTTTTGGGCCAGTGGGATAACCCAATAAGATTTTAGTTATGCGGATAGAGCCAATGCTCCAACTCTCTATTTTGCCAGCAAAACTCCAACAATGGTGGGCACAGAATCAGAGATACGGATCATCTGAAGTCACCCTGGCATTGCTATGGCTTCCACAGAACCAATATAATATGAGACGGCAGCACATAAAAAACATTTGGATTTCTGATTGGGGGAAAAGGCTAGATTTCTTCAGTCTATCAATCAAAATGGTTCTGCTACCATTCCAATAACATTCACCTAAGTTTCACATGCTTCAGAGTTATTTCCAAAAGTGCCACCTCCCACCTACACCCAAAACACACACACACACACAAAGACGATAGACCTAGGATACCTACTGCATCAATTGGGGAACAAATTCTAGTTTGACATAAGTGTACAGTGAAGATTGCATGGGAACGGGAGCTCTGGACATTCATTTGAGTGCTGGCAGTGGTTCGAGATAAAGCGCCCAGCTTCAAACACTGCATCATCTGTACAAAATAGGGAGGAAAGGACTAAATATTACTATTTTTTAAATGTGCATGTGAATGCATACCACAAGCCTAACTACTCGCCATATTAAAATAACTCGTTTGTAGTAAAAAAAAAAAATATTGTCACATTTTTCCCAGTACCATGAAACACACATAAAACTGAACAAAGTCTTCAAAGGATATCCCTCTAAACCACTAATAATATCCATACCTCAGAAAAGTACATTTTTGAAAAACTCACCTGCTATCAAAAGTTATAGAATATATGTCATATCAGAAGAGCATTAATAAAAGGGAAGGGGTACCTGCTCTTTTATGCTCATAGAAAGCATACAGAGAAATGCATATGCCCAAAACAGGGGGAGTAAATAATAACACCAAACATATATCAAATTGGGCTAAGTTCATGGACTGCAGAAACCAACCCAATTTCACTGAAAGGAATGCTGTTTTATGTTGTTATAGTGACCAAAGGCATGCTGGCAGAGTGTGCCTTTGTATCGTCCCTCCTTTTGTTCCCTGTAAGAGTGGCTCTGAATATTTAATGCCACAGCAGTAACAACCAGAGAAAGAGTATAAAGGGCAATGAGTCAAAGCAATGGAGGGTGAGTTTCAAATGTTTCAAAGAAACTAGAAACAACAACCCCATCTCATAATGCATCCATTCCCTAAACCAAAAATACATTCATTCCCTAAACATGATCTCTTTACTCTGTGGGCATACTGTTGGGAGATGAAAAGGTAGAGAGGAAAAGAAACAATGGATCTAGAAAAATGGAAAAAAAATGTAATATACACTGTCTATCACATATTTTGACAGATAAAGAGGACGCTTGATATCCACTGGGGTTTGGTTTCAGAACCACCACTACGGCACCTCTTGATACCAAAATTTGTGAATGCTCACCTCTCATTATATATAATGGCACAGTAAAATGGCATTCAGTATATATAATTGTTTGAAAAATATGTGGATATGGAAGGCTGGCTACACTGACTTTTAGTTATCTGTATTAGGAATGCGAATAGTGTTATTCTGTGCAGATACTCAAGACATAATAATAATAATAATAATAATAATAATAATAATAATAATAAACGTTATTTATACCCCGCTCCATCTCCCCCAGGGGGACTCGGTGCGGCTTACATGAGGCCACGCCCATCAGTACAATACACAACAATATAATACAAAAACATAATAAAACCAAAAAATAAAATACATGAAATGCAAAACAATATAATAAACGCCACAACAATATAAAATCAGACATTAAAACACAAAAGATTTCGTTGGGCAGGGCCAAATTCAGGATAAAATTTTAAAACACTGGGAAATAGGACAATGTCAAACATCAAGAGGAGTATCTGGGAGGAAGGATTTAATTGCACGAACCATAAGATAAAGTGCTACTGAGGTCATTTTGTGCAAAGTTTTTGGTCAGGGAGTATCTTACATTCAATCACTGAAGGCACATTGGAATAACCAGGTTTTCAGATTCCTCCTGAAGATTGCCAGTGTGGCTATTCGAGCAAGCATTTGCAAATATTGAGTAATGGACATAGGAATTGGAACTACACAATGAGACTGGACAATGTTTTTTTAATGATAATTTATTGATTTATGTTTTATTGTTATTGTTGTGATTTTATGGATGTTAATGCTTTTTTATATTGTACTTGTGTTTCTAAGGTATTGAATTTTGCCTTGTAAATCGCCTCGAGTCGCTGGAAGGCTGAGAGGGGCGATATACAAATACAGCAAATAAATAAATAAATAAATAAATAAAATACCTCTGATTCTGCATTAACAGTCCGCGTTGTGACTCCCACTGTATATATTCCTCCTGCTGAATCTTCATGGATTTTGATATTTGATTTTTTGTTCTTCGCATCAATATCCCGTGTTGTATCAAAGAGATCAAGTACTTCTTCATTGTAAAGCTAATTTAGAAAGGAAAAAGAGAGTAAAATTAAGGTGCACAGCCAACTTCAATACAATTCAAGACAAACAAAATGATGCATGGCTTTTGTGTAAAAGCATAATCCAAAAAAGACATGTAAACTTTCTAGAAAATGTGAAGCCAGGGTCATGTTTTGTGGGAGAAAGCTGGAACAAATACATATACGCTTAAGCAAATAACTGAAAATGGGAGATTATAGTTGATACAGGATGCAAAGAGACAGCTATTTTAATCATGAATATCAGGATGTAAAGAAATCTTGCAGCACCTTAGATACTAATGGGGAGAAAAAAAGTTGATAACATAATGCAGGCAGGATAGTACTTAGCCAATGAAGATTTTTATTTATTTATTTTTGTCATGTCAGGAGCGACTTGAGAAAATGCAAGTTGCTTCTGGTATGAGAGAATTGGCCGTTTGCAAGGATGTTGCCCAGGGGATGCCCGGATGCTTTGTTTTGTTTTTTATGTTTTGCCATCCTTGTGGGAGGCTTCTCTCATGTCCCCGCATGGAGAACTGGAGCTGATAGAGGGAGCTCATCCGCCTCTCCCCGGATTCAAACCTGCGACCTATCGGTCTTCAGTCCTGCCGGCACAGGGGTTTAACCCACTGCGCCACCAGGGGCTCCATGAAGATTAAATCCATTAAAAAAATCCACAACAAAGATAGAAGAACAGCCTAATAGGACTTAATTGCTACACACACACACACACACACACACACAGAAAGAGGGCACAAGGACATATTGTTAAAACTAGAGGGGTAAAAGATAGGTACAGGTTTCTGTGAAGGGCTGCAGGTCTTCCATCTCCTGGAATTTTTCCACATTCCTTTCCCCCAAAGAACAAGACAGTCATGCAAATGCTGTTCAGACTTTTGCAAGGGAAATGCTGAGGCAGCAGGAGAATTTCCTTAATCAGCCCTTGACAATGTAACCGCAGGCTGTAGCAAAGAACAACGTGCTTATTCCTTCCCATTAACCTTGGAAGGGCACTCAATGCAACTTGATTCTTTCAATAGGTATGTATACTATTACTAATGCAAAGATTAGATCATCGTACAACAGGCATGGACAAACTTCAGCCCTCCACATATTTTGGACTCCAACTCCCACAATTCCTAACAACCTACTGGAGTTAAGAGTCCAAAACACATGGAGGGCCAAAGTTTGCCCATGCCTATTGTACAAGCTGTGATGGCAATTGCTAGTTCAGGTTTCTTTGGTCTGAGGTTTGAGGGCCAATGTACCAGTATCTCAACACTAATCAGTAGGGACTTTTTCCCCCCACAATATGCTTTGTTAATACAATGCAATAAGGAAAGAAATGAGAACTAGATATGTTTATTGTTTTATAAAAGATGAATAAATATTATGAACAAAAATATACTACACATTCATAGTATGGAGTATCTTGTACACATCAAATGGTAAAAATACAATGAAATCCATTTTGATTCTGTGTTGTAGCACAACAAAATGTAGAAAAATCAAAGGACTGGGGAGGAACAGAAAGTTTAACCTTGCCAGTCTTTTTTGTTATTGACTAAGGAGTACAAACCACTTATCACTTAACCTTGCCAATCTTTTCCATTATTGACTAGGGAGTACAAATGCAGTTTTTATATATTTGCTCATTTATGGACCCGTTCTCATTAAAAAAACAGTGTAGCAGAACTGTGCTTTGTTTTTTTTTTTATTTTTTAAAGCACTTCTAAGAGGGTATTTTCTTAGTAAAGATGGACATGGAATGTAGTAGTAATTTTGTAGTAATGTTGTTTTGGTAAGATGTTTTTATGATTATGATGAATTGTAGACTGTTTTGCACTATGCTTTGTAGATTGCACTTGTTTTTTCATGTTGTACACCGCAATGAGTCGCCCCTGGGCTGAGAATTGCGGTATATAAGCGCAGTAAATAAATAAATAAATAAATGAATAATACATGCCTCTACCTCTGTCCTCAAACAAATTACTGAACCTAACACATTTAGAGGGGCAGCTTAATTCAAATGAAGATCTGATGTCTGAGAAGTAAAATTGTTCTTATGCACTTAAAGGCTGAGGTTCCTTCTGTAAATTGGTTTGGTTTTGCTTACTAGGCTTCCGTTCCCCCCAAAATAGCAAATGATTAACACTAAAAGCATTCATTCAGCAAACTTCGACCTAAGGGGAGTCAAAGCACTTAACCGTGTGTTTTGCATGCCTGTATGTTCCTCTACAATAGATAAATATTAGCCAGAAAGCTTTAAAGTAAAGCTTTAATACTGTACTTTACTTAGGAGTGATAGGTATTTGCAAGTCCGACCAGATAAAACATTTGATTCCAACTTTGGCAGGAATTTCATAGCTGTCTGGTTATCTGAACCAGAAGCTACAGATGCTTAGCTATCTGTAACTTCAATACTGTTGTTAAGACTCCTTATGCAGAAAGTCATGTTAAAATTGATTCCTCACAGAATTGCAAATGTGGAAATTAAACTCAACACTCTCAGAAAACTAACTCAAAAACTCTATCCTATAAAGTGAAGAGACCACTTATTGACTTGTATTAGCAAAACATTTTTCCTTGGCTTTAGATTAGGTGATAGCTTGTTTTGGCAAAAGTATTACCCGACAAATGTTCCGCAACGCATTGGCTTCTAATTCTAAAAATACATTTCTTTCCTATCCTCCCTGCCTGAAATAAATAAATATAAAGACTAGCAGAATTAATTTGGGAACCAAGCAAAAGTGAGTATTGTAATAGTGACTGCATGGCTACTAAATTAACATTAGATTTACCGATATGACAGCTAGAATCACATATATACTAATTACGATCTGTTAACAGCTTTGTGAATGGAAATAACTGAATTATGAAGACATACCTCTAAGAACTGGGCATTCACTTTAAATTCTGGAGGAGGAAGTCCTTGTTTAATAGCTGCATGCTTTTTTTCTTCAATACACTTGTACAGGTGTTTTACAGCACGTGGGATAATGCCCTGTTCTTCTTCCATTATGTTCACATCAAATCCAGTTCCCATTGTATATGTTTTACCTGCTCCTGTCTGCATTTAGAAGATCAAGCATTAGTAATATGCAAAAAAAAATCATAGTGCTTATGAACAGCTATGCTTTATGTCAAAGAATATGAGTAACAGACAATGAAAGCTCAAAAGCTGAATTTAGGTCAGAGAATGACCATAATGGTAGCTAAATATTTTCATGATACTTTGACCTGTAACTATAATTACTTTCAGAAAACAGCCTCCAAGCTCTGCTCAGACTGAGATGGACTCTCTTAAATAAGAACCATTGCAATTCAAGCAGGAGTACATGGTTATTCTTGCTTCACTAATGGTCCATCTGTACTTGAAAGATGCTGTTGCTTTGCAGAAATATATCAAAAAATAAATCTTTTAAGTGTTGCTAACTTCCCGCGAATTGAAATATAGTTTTCTCCACCTCTGCCAAAATGTCAAATTAAACCCTTGCTTAATGAAGCTAGTCCTTCCTTATGAGTTCCTTTTTTGTTTACTTCAGAGAAATGTTTGCAATGATTGAAAAGCAAACAGTTCATGTGGAAACATGCATTGAGCTTACCTGACCATAAGCAAACACAGTAGCATTGTATCCTTCAAAGCAGCCTTCAATCAGTTTGTTTATACAATGGACGTAGATTTCCTCCTGCTGTGATTCAATATCGAATACATAATCAAAAGTGAAGGCTTTATCTTTTCCCAGGAACACTTGGGGTTCCCCAGGTGTGACAGATGTGCAGATGTGGCATCCTTCAATCTTCTCTTTTGCTAGCTGAGGTCTGATTCTAGGGGGGGATTGAAAACGAAGCATTACAACACTGGAGTAAATCTAGTCGTACTACCCAAGTTTGATATGAATGAACTCTCATTTAAATCCAGAAATGTCAGAAAGTGCAAAAAACAAGGAACTAAACTATTCTTCTGCAAAATATATGTGAAAAGGAAAGGTATTCAGTATATCGCATCTAACTTTCAATGTGGCCTCTGGATATTCTAAGGTGGCTACCTTAGTGATAATTACTCAGGACAGGTTTCTATGGGACTGGTTGGGCTTTCTTCTGAATTAACAAATATGTAATTGGTAAGTGCTTGCAACAGTTATCCAATGATAATATGACAGGAGAGAAAACTCCAGGTCATTTACACTATTTTGAAAACTGTAAAAGCCTACCAAAGAAAACAACTTTGGTTTGAACAGGCTTGCCATAGACCAGAGGTCCTCAGACTTTTTAAATAGAGGGTCAGGTCACAGTCCATCAAACTTTTGGAGGGCCAGATTATAATTTGAAGAAAAAAACATAAATAAATTCCTATGCATAGTGCACATATCTTATTTGTAGTGCAAAAAGCACTTAAAAATAATACAAAAATGAAGAACAATTTTAACAAATATAAGCTTATTAGTATTTCAATGGGAAGTGTGGGCCTGCTTTTGGCTGATGAGATAGGATTGTTGTTGGTGTTGTTTCAGACTTAGGTTGACCCTGAGCAAGGGCCGCTTAAATGACCTTGGAGGGCCGTATCTGGCCCCGGAGCCTTAATTGAGGACCCCTGCTGTAGACAAACTGTAAACAGGAACAGTAGATAAATCATTCCAGATTAGTTTTAGAAAACCTTGAGACCGCACAAAGAAGAACACAAAATGTGTTTTGCCCACCCCCACAGTAGTTTTCAGATGTTAAAAATTACTTTCATATTTTCAGAAAGAAAGTGTGGATCAGTACTGAACAGCTGCATCCTTCTTGTCTGTAGCCCAAACAGGGATTATACTGCTCTGATTTCTTTGTATTCCTTAGTATTACAATAGTGAAGTGTTGAGGATCATAAAATATTTCAGAACAAGTTGAGTCATCACCTCTAAAATGTAATAAAAATAAATTTATGGGCAAACAATAGTCAACATGCAAATATGTGTCAGTGTCAGCTCTACCATTAGGCAAAGATATAGTAACCTCGTTAGACAGCCAAGTGTTGAAGAAGATACCCATGTGTTTGTGTAAGCATAACTGCTGCTTGCTTCAGGTAAAGAATGTGTTCCATTTGTTGATGTTGAAGAAAGCTTAGCCTGCCCATCTAATTGTCTTTTGTCCATGGACTATGAAAGGCACCATCTTTTTTATGACCTCAGGCAAAAAAATACAATAGACCAGTACTGCTATCCATAATAATGCCCCAACAATGGCAGAGTACTTTTCTGAGCAGATGACACATCAGCAAGGAATCTGCTTAATCCCTTGTCTATTAAAAATCCATCCTCACCTAGCACTGCTTTACCCCATCATCTCTGTTCCCTGTTCATGTTCATGTTCATGAGCAAAATTATTAATCTGGTACCCCCGCACAAAAGGGTGAATTTAGAGACAAGTAGAAAAAATGGCTGGCCCTCAGACCATGGTTCCTATAAAACAAAACTTCATTAAATGCAGATGAATGTGATCATGATTCTCATAACTAAATTAACATTTGCATTTCAAAACCTTGAAAGAGAAGATTGTTTCTCATTATAGCTATCTCCTTGTACTCTTGTACAATGCATCAAATAGCGGTCACACTAGGGGACAATGACAATCATTCTGGATTTATTTAAAATCACAGGACACATTTAAAGAAGTGGGAATGCTTTCCAATGAGCACGGATCTGCTGCCATGCTGGCAGAGTTTGCATTTGCAAGTGAGTTTGCATTTGCACGTGCAGCTGATACCCTGTAATTGTGAATCCTTTTGTTTCTGTTAGCAAATTGTTCACAATGTTTGCTTGAACATTTTAGAACTTGTTTCTGAACTGAAAATTGATTGGTGTCAAACAAAAACATTTGTGTGAATCCGGATTGGAAAAATTTAGCAGTGGCCTCCTGGTGTTCACTGGGCTTTGGTTTCAATGGATACCAAGATCCATGGAGGCTCAAGTTCTATTATATTCAATAATGTCCATTATATTAAATAATAAAATCATGGTTTGCTTTTTGGTTCCCACCTCCCCCTTTTCAATCATCTTCAAGTTTTGGATGATTGAATCCACAGATACATAATCTGTGAATACACAGCGTCAACTGCTCCTCACTTCACTTGCACTAATGCAGAAACTTTTCATCTGCAAAAAATATGTCAATCCACACAATGGAGTTTAAGTGCATTTATAATCTGATTGCTGGTTAATTTTCTAATAATAACAACAACAACAACAACAACAACAACAACAACAACAACAACAACTTTATTTACATATCGCCCTATCTCCCCTAGGGGTCTCAGAGCTGTTTCCACATATGCAAAATAATATAAGAGACATACAATGTGAAACAAAAAACATAGGCATAAACTATTAACACAACATATGCATTAAAGCCAATTTAAAAACCAGTTCCACTCTCTTCTTTTGTGCAAGGTAAGCTACCAGGGGCCAAAATTTCAATAAAGGGCCTAGACTGTTGAGCAGGCAGGGCCAAGGCTAGTGCAGAGAGAAGGGAGCCATGGGGCCAGTGGAATGCTACAGTGCAGGGAACAGTCTCAACAATGGCCATACTGGGAGACCGGCACCATTCATTTCCAGGGCCAATTAAAGGACTATACAAAAGGTCTGGGCTGGAAGAAAAAGAACATGCCCTCAGATGACAGGGGACTGGGATAACGAGTAGAGTACGAGGCCAAGTCCTTTTAAAAAAATAATAAACTTTATTGAGTATTTATAAATTACAAAGTTTAAAAAAGAAAAAACCGAAAGAGAGAGAGAAAGAAAATGGGAGGAAAAAAAGTCCTAACTGCTGTCTAGGGACTTGGAGCTTGAGACTAGTCATTTTCAAAAGCCTGAAGAAACCACCAAGTCTTCAAATTCTTACAAAAAGAGGTGAGTGATGGGGTCTGCCTTATCTCCTTGGGGAAGACATTCCAGAGACAGGGGGCCACCACCGAGAAGGCCCTCTCCCTCATCCCCACCAACCGGACTTGAGAAGGTGGTAGGAGTGAGAGGAGGGCCTCCCCGATGGATCTTAGACTTCATGCCGGTTCATAGAGGGAGATGCAATCACGGAGGTAGGTGGAGCTTGAACTGTTTAGGGCTTTATAGGTAATCCTTACAAGATGATTCCAAGGAGCATGTAACCTGAACATGATGAACCTGGAAAAGCCATTTATGGCTATTAAGACAACAGTCATTTGAAACTATTAAATGAACTCTAATGATCTACCTGCTGGGCAAAATAATTTTCATTATGGAGGTCTACCTTGTATGTATTAACATTTATGTAATGACAGAACGCAAGTAGTTTCTTTGTTGTACACACTTGCCTGCAAAACCTAACCCATGATTTTGCGCCATGAAGTAATTTAAAGGAGACAAAATGGTTCAAGAGTAACTCCTAGAAAAACTAATTCTCACATATCCACAGCCTTGTCTAGAGTAGCAGAACGAGGTTTTCTGGTGTGATTATTAGTATTTACAGCCACAACTTCCAACATAATTCATGTTCCTATGACAGCGGTAGTAAGAAAAATAGTTCACTTTAAAAGACTGGACACTTTTAACAAAGTACACACAGTGCTTGAAGATTATTTGAGATGACAGACTCTTGATGATGAAAGCTTTTCTATGTAACTCAAAGGGCTTGTTTCACTCATGTGAAAACCAAGTTACGCTTTCTAGTTGAGGCCACCAAGACAATGATAGATACATATGAATGCATCTCTGGATCCTTGACCAAGGCTGATAAGTCCAAGGCTGAAGTGAGTTAATAGTCTACTATCGCAGGACAAGAAATCACATAAACAATCTTAACATTCCCTCAGACTATTGTAACTCCTAGTTTGTGCTATATTTCAATAATAATACATCACCAGTGTTTTTAATGAAAAGCCTATTTTTTCCTGTCTATGGACTGTGGATCCCATAGTTATTTCCACTGAACTGGCTTCATAGTTTTGGTTTTCTAGCTTCTGTATTTTTACATGAGTACTGTTTTTCTATTACCTTTCTATTGAGTCCTTGCAATAGCTGCTCTGACAGAGAGCACCCTGAGTAGCAGGAAATACATCTTTCAGTAAAGTTGCAAGCAAAGAAATTACTATACTGATTGTATTAGTAATACCTTTAATTGGCTTTTAAATAAACAGAATTCTATTACTGGTTGAAAAATATTGGCTCTTTCAGGATAAATATACCTGCAATGCTTGGGACCAGAAACATGTTGAATTTCAGATTGTTTTTTTTCCAGATGCTAGAATATTTGTAGAAACATACCTAATGAGATACTTTGTAAATAGGATCAAATTCTAAACACAAAAGTCATGTATATTTCATATGCACCTTATATACATAGCCTGAAGGTAATTTTATACAATATCTTTTAGTTTTGTTCATGAAACCAAGTCTGAATACAGTTGGCCTAGTGCATTTGTGGATTTAACGTTTGTTAATTTGATTATTAATGGATTTGCTCAATAGTCACGCTGGAGGACCTAGAGACTTCTAAAGGAAATAGTTCTCTAGGTCCTCCAGTGAGATTCTCTGGACCTATATATGAGGTGTTCTCTCAGGTAAAAAAAAAATGTTTTTGATTCATATTTTCCTATTTGAAGGGGATTATGAACCCCTAACCACTGCACAGGTGGGGGGCCTACTGTACGCTAAATCATCAAAGAGGTCACTATTTTAGCTACCAATGTGGAGTATTTTGAATTTTGGGTAATTGATGCTCATCCTGTATTCAGATTGTACTCAGTTGTGTCTACAAACCACAACACAGTATTCTGTTGAAACAATATGAGTTTCTTTTTCCCATTCCCCCCTCCT